ATGTCGCTCATATGAGAGAGAGAGGAGAGAGAGAGATCTTACACTGAAACGTTGCCCATTTAAAATACACAGCAAGCAGAGCTGTTGATTTATCATTCAAGGTCAACCAGTTGATAGAGAGCGAGAGAGAGAGAAATAGTTGTTTTGGGGCGTGGCCAAAACCGGTATGGATGAAACCGCTATTTTTATACTACTCTTAGAATAATGATGTACCGATTACAGAGATGGTTATAGTTTTTAAAGTATAGAAAATGGCTTATGCTACAAGTATCGCAAATCGTTCGATTCAGCTTCATTAATTTCCAAACGGTAGCACATACACCGAAGCCGTGGTCTAGCTGTGACCGAAAACACTGACGCCCTCCCTGATTGCATTAAATCGAACTAATCTGTCCCAAATGTTTGTGTCGCATCTAACAGATGGCGCTCGCATATTCACAATAACAAAAATCCATTTAAAAAGTCTAAAAAGTACAGAAAAATAATTTAAAAAAGGAACAATAAATAAATTTCGTTTATTAACGTTTTTTAATGGAAATTATTTTTCTTTGTAATTTTGTGAGATTTACTTTTCTCAATATTGAAAAATATTAAATTAGAAAAATAAAATGGTTAACATAACCTCACTTTTTTGTCACAATGATAACAAGTTGATTGCTCAAAAAATCTACAAAACACCAGAAAATATTTACAAAATAAATGTAAATATATTTTTAAATGTTAATTTAAGTGAACATTAATATCATTTTCATTTTTGTGGGATTTGAATTCAAAATATTCGAAAATAACTAAATCAAAAAGTGTGCAACCTAGCCTCACTTTCAATTAGGCAATTGTTGTAATGGCGTTTTTGAAGCAAAGTGTTTTTACCGATGATGAAGATTGGATGCCGGCCAATCCGAATGATTCCACAAATGGCGGTAAATATTTATAGAGAAAAGAGGTTTTTTTATAATAATGGATTTAAATTATTTATTATTGGTTTCTTTAAAAATGTTTTAGAACGTTGTATGAGACCATCGGAGAGTTGCCTCGAAAATGATTCGATTGTATTTACATATGCTCAACGGTTTCCAAAGTTGCCGGATGATATATACATATATAAATGTGCGTGTTTTATTCCAATTGAAAAATTTATCTTTTTAAGGAATATTTGATTCATAAATCATTTGATACAATGTTATTTTTTTTACACTAATTTCCCAGATTTGAGTATTTTTTCGGTATTAAGCTTGAAATTGAATAGATAGCAAATTGATTGGACTGTCACAAGAAATGGACACCAATTTATTTTATATTTTTCCGTACATTAAACATATATTTTATGCCTGTGAAAGATGAGCGATTATCAAATAAACGGAACATACATATAGATTTTATTTTATTTTTTTTATTCTTTAAACTTTTTTTTATTGTCCGTGCATTATGTGTCAATGAATCTGTTACTCGATTAAAAAAACATGCTCAGGAAACTCCTAAAGAAAATGAAAAACATCAAAAGCACCTCCAGTTAAAAGTATGTATTCTTTTTATTTGCAGTTCACCCAAAACGCTAGAAAATGTTGGTTGTTATTTTTATATGTATCCAATAGAACGATAGATTATATGGATACTGGATAGATTTCAATAAAGTTAAGAAGATGAACCAAGTGTTGTAATTCATTAAAAAATAAAAATCAATTAATACAAACAGAAAGAGATTTTAGTAATTTGATTTATATTTTGTTATATTTTGCTTTATTTTCAAAAAGAACAGACATATGTTTTGTGTTTGATTTTTATAAAATTGTTCAATAAATTTCATGATTTGAATGTTGTGTGTATTGGCCTAGGTATGGGCCCATATTGAGCTATGACCGAAAATGAAATTTCGTTCTGTCTTATTTATTTTTAAAGAAATCAATTGCCCTCATTCCAACAAATAGAGCATCGTTTTCAAATAAAAGTGCTTTATCAATAACAAAAAATGAGAACTAGTTCGTCGCATCAAAGAGACTGATTTTCTTTTACCCTAATAAAGCAAATTGAATAAAAATTCAATTTTTGATAAAACATCTATCTCAAAAACAAAATCAACGTTTTCGCTTCTGAATAGGCAGCGAATGTCACTATTTCTCCGGTGCCTCAAAATGCCAATAGAAACTCCATCGAATTGAACTGAAATGATACACATTGACTGCTTGTCAAATAAAAAATAATCTAAAGCGCAAATAACTTATTCATGTAAAATTGTACTACGTGTGTATAAAATGTATGAACCGCACAGTTCTATTTAGTAGTGTCTCAATATTTTAGCTATTTTTACTACATCGAATTGCATGGAATAGGCATCGTTTTTTGTTTTTGAATATGCGCTGCAACAAGAAGCGAAGGAAATGGTTTACAATCGATTTAATGTTATACATATATATACCATATACTATTATTTGGTCGTCGCTTATGACTTTGACACCACACGAATACTGTTACGAATATTGCACCTAATTATAATTTAATATTGGGTTGAATGCACGTTTATTATTTCGCTTCGTAATATATTGTACGATAGATATTTAAAAAAAAAATGTTGCTGCGATGGAGGCATTGTCTTACCACAGTTTATTATGATAGAATTTTAGATCGAAATATCCTTGTTCGGTTATGCCTTCAGAATTAATCGATGATATGGTGGAAACAGCATCATCATGATGGTCAGATCTACCAATTGGTCGACCAATTTTAACAACACCAAAGCTTTCAGCTTCCTCTTGATCGAATTCCATTTTAGTGGATGGTGTGACGGCCGCACCAACATTTGATGAAATATTTTTCAGTCCGGTATGTTGTTTGTTTGGTTTTTGTTTACGGAATGTTGCCGGTGGCTCTGGATCAATAGCATCATTGAATTTCACTTCACGTAATTTTGCGGAATCGCCACCATTCGCCGTTGGCGGATCTAGTGATAAACTTGTACTCTCAATATCAGCAATAATGTCTTCAACACTTTTGTTATAATCTATGTTGGTTGTCTTTGAATCTCCAGCATCACTATTGACTTCTGTGCCGGCGTCCACATCGTCGGCATCAGACGCTGCTTGACTCGATTCAATCTCATTTTGATCATTCTCCCCACTGAAATCATGTTTTATCATATAGATATTCGTTTAGCCACAAAATTACAACCATTTTCAATAAAACAGAAACAATACATAAATTGATGAATGAGATTTTTTTAAATGTTTATTGCATGAGAAATTAAGGGAAACAAATTAAATTAAATTAAATAATTAACAATGATAAAATGATTGAATACATTAAACAACGTATAAATTATGTATAAATATTGAGCAAAAATGAGTTTTAGCTTATAAATCACATATATCTTCAACTAACAAGCTAATGCAGAGCTTTTTCTCTCGATATTATTTTTCAGCTAATCTCATGTTCGTGTTGCTTTGGTATTAGAACGATGAGAAAAAAAATGAAAGAATTATCAAAAATAATTTCTATTCTCCTTATAAGGAAAGGAAAAAACTCTTCTACTTCTAGCAATTTGTTAAAAAAAAGTTGTTAAATTGATATTATAGACGGTCATTGAACATTGCAATTATATTGAATTAGCCCATCTGCAAACACATCCTAGTTCTCTACACCAGTGTGATAGACTTAAATTTAGTGTTTCTTTGCCCGATTCTCTTAAATCTTTCAATTTAGTCGGTCGCAATTAATAGAATTAAGAGAGAAAATAAATATCAAAATATTATATAAAATACAAAATTGGTGTCGAATACTAATACTTAATGTGGAAATGTATTTTCGAAAATTGTGAGAGAATTTCACCGGGAGTTATTTTATTTTAAATAAGAAGGCGCGAAAAAAGATTAATGTAAAAAAATGTGATGTTACTGGAACGGATATGCAATTAGTTTCAAAATAAATTATTGTCATCACAAAATGAACCGAACGGATCTAACCTAAATTTTCTCCTAATTAATACTTTTATATACAATATTGTCGATTGTATTATGGGCGGGATTTTCAAATCACCTGATCTACTTAGCTAATGCCAAGTTATAACAACATTTTCAACACTCTAAAACATATAAATAGTAATTTTACGAAAATTGCAACAATTTCGACAAAATAAAAAAAAACTGTTGATTGGAATAAGTAATGTAGATAGTAAACAATCTCATCAAAATTGCAGTTAAATCCCCAGAAAATAATAATAATATAGATCTTAAATCGGTCAAATTGAGCAAGATACAGATTAAAAATGTCTGAAAATAAAAGGAAAACAAACACACAAATAATGAAAACGGAAATGCCATTTAAAATAATAACTGAAATAAAATAAAATGAGTGATGAAACGGATCAAAATAAATGAAGAGATGCTTGTCAATGATTGTATGAAATTATTTCAGAAATTGTGTACCTGTGCGGTTCATTGGCTACTGCTGATGGTGAACTATGAATGATCTGAAATAAGGCAAAACAAAATTGTTGGTTAAATTTTCGGAACAATTTGCTATGTTTTAGTGCAGTAAGCGAAAGTCTATTTATTTTACGTGTTTGCAAACACGATATTGACGACGTTTTTTATACTATCAATCATTTTCACTTTCACTTCCGCACCGTAAACAATTCCGTTGCTAAATATTCATTCCATTTGGTTGGCTGAACTATGTGCCATGTGGTCAAACATATTTGAAACACAAACGACCACTCTTTATGCTCAGGTCAAATGTGGTGGCATGATAAACAAAACGAAATGCAACAAAGAAAAGAAAAAAATACTACCCATCACACATTGCACGCTACTTAAGTATGCATCACAATTTATTATTATGAGACATGAATGGATGGTTGGTTTTGTTTTCTTTCTTCTCTTCTTCGGTTTATTTCATTTTCATTTGAACTGTAGATGCATGACATTCGGCGTGAAAAGTGTAACGGACATGGACACACTTGACACAAATAAACGATTGATTTTATGCATTTAAAATTCGGAAGAAGTGGAAAGTGTTCCATTTATCCATGATTAATTTTCGGTGCAAATCAAATTAAAGCGGTGTGCGGCTAATATTCAAGGTGAGTTCATAGTGTTTCTTTTTGTTATTTTTTCATGTCTGTGATATGCGGTTGGTTAGACGTTATTTAAATTGTGAATTATATCACCCTCCCGCACATAAATGATTGTTGTTGACTATTCTACTCGTATTATAAGTTATTTAAAATTGAGAGTGAGCTTAATGGTTTATAGGTGTATACCTCCGCCATGCTGCATGTAGGTCTTTTAGCTCCAAACCGTCCCATCGGTGAACTTTGTACGAACGGCAATTCTGGCGCAGCACTCTTTTTGTTCAAGCGTTTTTTATACTCATCACTTTTGGCATGTGCTCCAAATAGAGCGGCATTAGGACTAGAAAATTAAGTTTTTTTTATGATTTTGAATCGTTAGCAAATGAATTGTTGTTAATAGTAATTGAGCACAAATTATTGTTAATTGTCACAGCCACTATTATTAGTGTGATTGCTCTGTGTGATTTTTCTCTTTAATTAAATGATTAAAGCCAAACCATTAGTCCCAAAATAAGATTGATGAAATTGGCAAATTTACTCGGTAAAATGAAATGTTAGTGAATGTTGTTACCTTGCATCAACCTTCGAGTCAGATCTGGCTGAATTCGGTGCTGAACGATCCGATGATGCATCAAAGAAGCCCGTATAAATCACAAAATTGTTCATTTGTGGAATCGTTTTTACCAAGCCTATGTAGAGAGCAATGCAAGCGATTCAACACTATCAATCATTTTGTTTTCTGTTGATTTCGTTGGAAAAACAAACCGATCACTTTACGTACCGTAATGTTTGCGTAGAAAAGCGATAAGCTTGTCCGATGGACGATCGATGGCCAATTTTTGTGGCTCAACATTTTCACGTTCAAGCATCAATTCGAACATCTCTTTGCCGAGTCCAGCCCTTTGCCGTGATTCGTGCACATAAAAATCTAGTACACACGTTGCGGGCACCGGCTTTGTTTCACCATTTGCGTCAAATACGTACAAATTTTTGATACCGATTTTCAAAAGTCCTGTCACACAACCGCTGAAATTGAATTAATAAAATTGTAGTTATACTTCCAAAAAGAACGAAAGATATCATCAAACATTGCGATGATTGGACTGTTTTGTTTTTGTATCAAATTGTTTTTTTCCAAATAAGAACAACAACAAAAACCATTTTATCCCCCATCCTTCCCCTTCATACATGACTTGCAAGATATTTGTATTGAATAAATTACAAGCGTGAAATGAACGACAATTATCACAGTAATCAAACCTAACTCGTCTTTATATTGTTTTCGTTCAATTCAAATGGCACTATGGTTGTCGTTGTTGTTGTCATCGAGGTTATGCCAATGTGTTATGTTCGCTTATTCCCATTATCCATATCTTGAAAATCTTGAAAGCATGTTTTTCGTCAAATAAACCGATGTGAGTCGAACACTAATAATATGGATTCTGTTGTGTCGCATGGTTTTGTATTTGCGACTTGGTTTTTGGTGCATAATAGCAAACAAACGAAAAAAAACCACCACCAAAGAAAAAAAGAATTACAGGAATAAGACTTTCACTGTTCAAACGGAGAACGAGGAAAATAGCACACGCTATGCACCATGCGATGTGGTATAATTGCTATTTCAACTATTGTTAGAAACGATTAAGTTCTAAGACTATACCATCAACATGTCCGTCGTAAGGTTATTCGGTTTGATTATATGATACAAAACAAATGTGGTAGCATGCCCTGTTCGAATTGGAAGTGACGCGGTTTTTTTACCTTCTTGTTCTTGTTTGGTTCGATTCGGAAGCAATGCTTAATTTGGTTAATGGGGTTTACAATTACAAATTTTACTTACTTTCTCCCGGTCGGTTCAGACAACAAGTAAACGATATGATCAGAGTTACGAAGTTTTTGAGCTGTTGTTACCGCTTTCGATAGTCCCTGAGCACGTGCCGATGCCTCACCCAATTCATTTATTATATCTGAGATCTTAGCGATTGCGTCACTGAAAATGTTCAAATCAACCAAAATCAATTTGACTCGAAAATCAAACACACACATTTTTCGCTGTAAAGTGATTTTTAATGACTTGACACATACAACGCAATATGTATCTATTACTTACTGTACACTTCGCTTGTCACCAATGAATCCTTGAGGTACCAAGTTATTGGTAACACGAATTATGTTGGTTTCAAATAAAGGTGTTACATCAAATCGAAATTCCATCGCAAACTATTTGATTTCTGTAAGAAGAAGAAAAGAACACATTATGGTTGGCTTTTGGTTGGATATGATTTTGACAAATATTTGATTGATATCTTTTATTTATTTTTAATTATTATTGTTTTCTTAGATACAGAGTAGGCTTATAGCGCATTCATGATATTAACGAATAAAGAATTAACATGTTTATGCATATCAAGTGCTAGCCTTCAGATTTTATCGTAAACTAATAACAGACTATTGGAACAACTGATAGCTATTACTTCTTTCTTTTTAAATAACACTCACACACAAATGACTAAACTCAATGGAATGAATAATGTATTCTTTTGTCGTCTGGATCATTGTACAATGGCAACAAAACGTTAGGTGTCGGCTCGGGGCGATTTACTTTTTACCGTCACATAATCAACATTTTTTTATTGCAAAGAAAATTTTCGCCTGACTTTATCTATCAATGTCCATTGAATCCCACATTATTATGATTCACTCGCCTCCTCTTTCATTCTCTCGGGGTATTTTTGTCCAAAATCATTCAAACAAATACCGCAAAAAAAAAACAACGAAAAAAGAAACAAACAAATATCGTTTGATTTGGCAAATACAAAAAAAAAAATGGAAAAGAACCTGCAATTTTCCCACGAAATCAAGATAACGCCTCCGATACAAATAAATAAAATATGCTGTCGTTTTTCACAACGAAAACTTTTTTTTACTCAATTTGAATATAGTTCGCGTTTGGAAAGCAGCCACCCTGTTTGTCCCTTTTTTGTTCATGGAAATCAATTCCATTTATGAAGTAAAGTTGAGAGTGGATATCGAGTCGCTTCTTTTTTCTTTTTGGTGTATATATATATTGATTGTGTGTGTGACCTACACGCAATGAATCACATAGGGGTATGGCAGCACTATTAGTTTCCCATATGATGTTATTCACGCATCAATTGTTATTGTCAAAAGCTTTTTTTTTTCCATTTACCGAAGTAGTTTTGATTGTATATTCTCGTCTATTTTTGAACGACAACGATATATCAATTAACTTCGATATTTGAAAGGGAAAATGTGTACCGCAATTGATACAAAATTGTGTTTCACTCTTAAAGCGAAAAATGACAACTGCTTTCTATACAAAATTGTCACAACTAAATATTATTGAAAATGAGCAAATAAATTAATTGTAAAATGGTTTTTTTTTCATTGTTTTTGTATAATGTGGCTGTTCCATCAATATGATGATGACAATTACATGTCTTTTTACTTCTATGTTGGAAATGATGTCTTTGAACTGAGATGACTGACATCGTACGTAACACTGTGTGTGTGTGTGCGAATCTATCGCCCATTGAATAGATACACTCTTCTAATTAATTGGTTAACTGATTAATTTAACTTGAATTATTAGAAATTACGACAAATATCAACCCACCTAATGTGATATAGATCAATTCCAAAATAACTTCGCTTTTGCTGTGATCTTTTCTAACTTCAAATTTATCACAAAATTTCGACTTATTCGAATTGGGAAAATGTACAAGTTCAACAGCACAATATGGTGGATGTCAAGCGACTGAAATAAGAGCAGATTACTTGACTACGTAATGGATTTCGCTGTGACGATGCGAGAAAATGTGCGCAGCAACTGGAGGAAATGCTCTATCCACAAATGCTCTATAGCAATTTTCCAATGAAGAAACATGTACATGTATGTGTGTACGTTGCCGTTGTGGTTGCCATTGTGTGTGCTTTGAATGGAAATATTTAACGTACAAAAAAAAAGAACGTACGTCTCGATTCAATTTAATGAACAGTTTTTTTTAAAAACAGCAACATCAGATTTCAGACTCGAAAGAAGAAAAAAAACGTAGAAAGAATGAAGTAATAATGCGAATTGTTGATTGAAACTGCTGAATGAAAGGAGAAGTAAACGGAAGAGAAACGAAACAAATTATCGGCCGAATAGTAGTGACTACGAGTCTGTATCAATATCTCAGAATAATGATGTACCGATTACAGAGATGGTTATAGTTTTTAAAGCATAGAAGATGACTTATGCTACAAGTGTCGCAAATCATTCGATTCAGCTTCATTAATTCCCAAACGGTAGCACATACACACATACATTACTTCACAGTAACTATTCTGAACTATTTTCCGTTTTATATGGCTATAAAAAAAGATGATCCATTTTATGTATGCCGCACGTATATTATTCAAATTAACATCGATATTTTCTTTTGTTTTCTTCGTTGTATTTGGTTTTCGCGTTGGAATTATTGGCCTAATCTAATTCACTATAAATTTAGCATATCCCTATTTTCCCATATTTATCGAAAGCACAAGGAACAAAATTGTGTCAAAGAAATTGCATTTACATTTTCTTAGTTGTCAACAGGCACGCAATCTTGAAAAATTCTGATACACACGTTAAAGTTATGGGCAAGTGCAAGTTAACGGGAACCATTCTAATGTTATTATTATTATGGCGAATTGATTTAATAAATATTGCTGGAAATTCCGTTGCTACATACAAAAATTCCATTGAATGTGCTAATGTGATTCCTTCACTTCAATGCATTCTTAATGAAAATATCCAAGCAAAAACAAAAATCATTCACTATTTGCGAAAACATCAAGCGCAACAACAACAAAAAACAGAGATATGATTTACTACATTAACCTTAACAGTGAATTGGAAATGTTCAAAGCGACCGCGATTGAAATACAATCTCATCACATGAACGATTCTTGAGAATAAAAAAAAAACTAAATTAGTTTCCATCTTTCACTCACTAATAGTAAAAAAAATGTTGTTTTTTCCGCAAAATTTACTTTTTATTTTTTACAATATCACAATACAAAAATGTACCTGCTCTTGAAATCCGCCACACCGTCAATTAAATTTCTATATACACAATCCGTGGGCACTTGTATGGTATTAGTCATGCACTGTTGCTTTTTTAGACTTGTTTCTCTTTGATTGCTCTATCTCTTTCTTGCGCTCTCTATTGTTGCCTATTCGAGTAAGTCACAGGTCTGTGTTTTTTCACTTATTCTTCTTCGTTTGGTCACGATTCAATGTAACTTATTGTAGAATCCATTCGTGATGCCATCAACAACACACAAGAATAATATTAAATAATTCCCGTTTATCTGATCGATTTCACCCTTTTTTTCATTTAATATTTTATGTTGCTCTTTCATTCATTACAATTTGTTTATAAAAAACAGTGCAACAACTAGTGAGTGTGAATGACATTTGATTGGTTCGAATTGGTTCAACTCGGTTCAGTTTGGTTTTTCACTTCCTTTCGTCGACTGATCTTACAAGATTAATTTTTCTTGATCAGTTGATTGTTTTTTTTTTATTCAATGGGAATATTTTCTTTTTCTTATACTAAATTGCAATCTAATATAATAGATAAATAGAAATTTGTCGAATAATATGAAAAAGTTCAATGTGGCGCCATCTCATGTTCTGGAAATTTCATTTGTGAATTTAAATTGTTGTCATTTTCAATTGTAAACATCTAATTGTAATTATAAAAATTTACTTTATTTCAAATAAATTTCAATCATAATTGGCCATTGGATGTAAACAAATATGCAAAAAATATTGGATTTGAACACATACTTGCGCTTCGTTGACAGTTTATGTACAACTTGTGTTCAAAAAATGTCTACAGAATTTTAAATCAAATTACTTAAAACTCTTTCTGTATTAATTGTTTATGTTTTATTTATTCGCCAGATGAATGTTTGGTCCTTAACATTTGAAAGATGAAAGATTTTTTTGAAAACTATGTATATGGAACGATAGGACATTAAAAATGACCACCAAAATGAGACAATGTTAAAGTGTATAAAATGTATTGTATATTTACTCCTCAAGGAGGTATATGTTTTTTTTTTGATCATCATTGATCAGTCAAGACGTCGCCTTTTCTCAACTGAACTATCCAAGTCATCAACTACAGCGACATCACTCGAATCTGTTAAAAAAATGGTCAACACATTTTGAGTATATATTTGAATTGAGTTCAAATCGTTTGAAAGAATTACCGTTTGCCGAGTCCTCGCCATCATCTGAATCCTCATCATCACTATCTTCATCGTCTTCGCTGTCCAAATGATTATACGAGGCTGATTGTTGTTGTTGGCACACTATTCGTTTTAATTCCTTATTTTTTCGTTTCAATTCCTTGTTACTTCCTTTTAATTCATCAAGTCGTTGTTGTAGCTTGGCATTAGTTCGCTCAAGCTGATCAATCTACCGATTAATAAAAAGTAAAGTTTTAAGTGAACAATTCCTGGTTACGAAATGATTCAGAAATGTAAATATACCTTTTCTTTGGACTTGGATTCAATGAATGCTTTATGTCTGTTGGCTTTCTCCTTTTCTCGATTCACTTGTTCTTCACGTTCGGCCACTAATTGTTTTCGTACCTCTTGTTCTCGATGGCTATATTCTTGAACGATTTGCTCCATTTTGTCTTTCAGATCAAAGAGTTCGTCTTCCAAGCGTTCATTCTCCTTGATCAAATCATTTATATCATCACGGTAACCGTCTTCGTTCGAATACGACGGCATAAACCATGAAAATCGTGTACTTCGTGCGGCTCGTTTATTGCTTACCTCTTGTTTTGGTTGTTTAAAAACAATTTGTTGTGCAATCGATGCAAAATTAAGAACGTGCAAATTTTCTTCCATGAAATCCAATTTTGGTGCCATTGTAACAATTGTTGTGATCTTTTCGTGGCCCAACAATGATTTCTGCAGCAACATGGTCAATTTTGACTCACGGAATGGCAACACTTCTTTCGATTTCGAATTTTGATTTTGGTACATAAGATCGTAGCAGCGACCCAATACCATCAACGATGTATTGATTCGTTGGGCTTCTTTAAGTCGTTCACCAACATTTTCAGTCTTTTTTAAGCGCTCCGAACCGGCCAAATCACAAAACTTGTATATGCTATTTGAGAATCGATCGGGATATGAAAAATGAATCACATTTAGAATCAAAATACAATGCGATCGACTTGATTTCTTATTTATATTTGTCGATGCATAGTTGACTTGTTGCAAACCGGCATTGATAACGTCGATTGCTTCACTTGGCGTCACCACATAAACGGATGTCAAATCTTTAATGAATGAATTACCATCGTTTCCGATAATCTTTAAATTTTCACGCTTCGTTGCATCCAATCGCAGCAAATCGTACACATTTTCATTGTAAATTTCAGCAAATGATATCCATACGAAACAATGTTGCCATTGATTTTGAATCGGTTCGAAACCATGTTCAATGCGAATATTTTCAATAATTTGTTGATTTTTTGCCATTGTATTTTTTCGAATGAATTTCCGTTTTAACTCTAGCTCGGCATTTGCATTTGGCTCTGACACCATTGAAATATTTCCTAAAGAAAGAGAAGAAAAACACAAAAAAATTAGCATGTTTTTTATTTGTTATTTCCATAATTTTCCAGATTTAATTACCATTTTCAAGTTTGGCCGCCGCTGTCGGGCAAATGATATTCTTATTATTGGTGAATATTTGGGTGAGTGCACGTTGAACAATGCCAGCATCTGTTTCGGTTCCATACATTGTGTATGTTTTACCTGAACCACTGGTGCCATATGTTAAAACTGTCAAACTCTCATTGTTTTGTATGGATGATTGCACCAATTGATTGTAAATATCCAATTGGGTTGCATCGTTGTGAAATATCTTTGAAAATTCAAAATGTTTTTCGGTCAAATCTTTGTTATTCGTTGCAGCCAATTTAACGGGCAACACTTTCAATAGATTATTTTCAGCTTCGTATTGTACACTTGGCAGTTTAACTGGGCACAATCGCAAAAATACGGATGCCTGTGTGTCCACCGTATCGGTGTCCGAACTATTTGACGACGTTGAATTTATCACAGAATTTCCGTTTGGCATCAAATTTTCAATCTCTTCATCTTCTTCGATTTCTTTATACAAATTTCGTGTACAGTTCTTTGGTCGTGGACGATACATACGATCGATGCTCGCATCGCGTTGATACAAATACGACACTCGGTCGTCGGCCATTATTATCTGTGCTTTGAACGAACTGCAAATAAAAAAATAAGAACATTACACACTTTTTATTGGATGCGCTCTAGATGTTTTTTTATTTTCTTTTCGGCTTTCCTGAATAGCGAAAGCATGATTTTTTTTTCATATCAAAGTCTTGCAAACACACGCTCTTGCATACACATTGATTGTTATCATAAATTAAGTGAAAAAATCTAATAAAACTTACCAATAAAATAAAAATGTTATAATTATGCAATATATTCTGTACAATTTGACACAATTTAAATAAAAATGTTCACTTTAAATGGATGAAACAAGTTTTTTGTCACAGACAAAACATCGAGACAATGACAATGACTCTGAATATTGCCGTTAAATTGAAAACATATTGTTTGAAGTTATTTTCTTCAATATTTGCAAGTGCTGCCATCGAAAACATCGGCGAACGTTTTGAACATTTGACAGTTTGGTGTGCTACTTCAGCATGTGTGCTCGCACTTTGTCATAAATACACACACACACACACTTCAATACCAAAATACAAAAGGTTTTAGCCTATCGTACTGCGTGACATCTTCAACACACATGTTAGTCACACAACGATTCATTGACAGTGTACATAATGCTTTCAATATGAAAGTTTTTTGAATAGAAAAAAAAGAATAAATTTCCATTTTGCTGAAATGGCTGCAACACGATTTCGTTTTACGCAATTATTTTCGAATAATTTGCAACTGATTGGTGTTCGATCGTCGGCTAATCTACATCAAGCAAATATTAGACAATATCATATATGTACAAATCAAACTACTACACATAAATCGTCCAGATTTTTCGGTGGACCCGATACGAGTGAGTAAAATTCACTAAAATATGTGAAATAAACAAATACCAAATGAATGCGATGGAAAATAATATTTAAATATGTTATTAATGGAAAACCATGTCGAGATCTATCAAGAAAATTATCTAAATGTGAATGTCATTTGAAAATTTGGATAAAATTGAGCGATTTATTTAAAAAGAATCTCGAAAAAACTTAACCTCAACTCAGCTGATGACGGCAACCCATTAAAGTCTTGTCTTTTTTTTATTTTTTATTGGCAGTTTTATGCAGTAGGGCCATTTCAACGACATCATCGCTCGCAGCAAAAGACTATTACAAAATTTTGGGCGTTTCAAAAAATAGTTCGGGCAAAGATATTAAAAAAGCTTACTATCAATTGGCCAAAAAATATCATCCGGATACAAATAAAGATGATCCAAATGCGAGTAAAAAATTTCAAGAAGTTTCCGAAGCATATGAAATTCTTAGCGATGACACCAAACGCAAGGAGTACGATACATTCGGTACAACAACCGAACAAATGAATCGCAATGGTGGTGGTGGAGCCGGTCCTACCGGTCAAGGATTCAATCAACATTGGCAATACACATCGACCATTAATCCAGAAGATTTATTTAAGTATGTCAACAAATTTTGTTTTTGTAAAACCATAAGAAGTTTTTTTTTTCTAATTTGAATTTAAAAAAATATCAATTTTTCACTTTCAGTAAAATCTTTGGAAATCGTAATTTCAAAGGTGACTTCGATGATTTTGGCTTTAGCGATACGAAATACGGATTTGGTGCATCACAAGAGGTCACAATGAATTTAACATTTGCCCAAGCTGCTCGAGGTGTAAACAAGGATGTTGTTCTCAATGTTATTGATACGTGTCAAAAGTGTCAAGGATCACGTTGTGAATTGGGTACGAAGCCCACGAAATGTCAATATTGTAATGGCAGTGGCATGGAAACGGTATCAACTGGCCCATTCATTATGCGATCAACATGTCGTTATTGCTCTGGAACTGGCCAATTCAATAAGTATCCGTGTGTAGAGTGTGACGGAAAAGGACAAAATGTAGGTTCAAGTTTATTGATCACTCTGTGGCTTAATTGTATATTTTTTTTGAATGGGTTTTAATTCATAAAAAATATTAAATTTACTCGTTTTACTCAAGGTGCAACGTAAAAAAGTTACCGTTCCCGTTCCGGCTGGCGTTGAAAATGGTCAAACTGTTCGCATGCAAGTCGGTCGAAGAGAAGTGTTCATTACGTTCAAGTAAGAAAATCAATACAATTCTAATTTGAAAAAAAAAATTCAAATGTATCTAATAAAATGAAATGTTCATTTGCACCGTTTAGAGTTGAGAAGAGTAATTACTTTAGACGAGATGGTGCCGATATCCATACAGACGCAGAGATATCTTTGTCACAGGCCATATTAGGAGGAACAATTCGTATTCAAGGTGTTTATGAAACACAAACTATTCAGGTAAAATCTAATAAAAAATGTTATTTTTTTTTCAAAATTAAAATTGCATATTTGTCTATGTTGCAGATTGTACCAGGCACCTCATCCCATACAAAAATTTGCCTCACTAACAAAGGCATGAAACGAGTTAATACATATGGAAACGGCGATCATTATGTACACATCAAAATAGCCATTCCAAAGAATTTATCCATGGAACAGAAAGCTTTGATTCAGGTGAGTTGAATATGAAATTGAATTCGATTGACAGAGAAGAAATGAATGGTATTTCTTTTTTTTTTGTTTTGCATTCACACAGGCGTATGCTGAATTAGAAAAAGATACACCGGGAACTGTTTTTGGCATCACACAAAAAACCGATGGTAAGTCAAATACATCATCTTCATTTAATAACACAAAAACGCAAGGAGAACGTGGTGACGAATATGATGCTCATGATAAAACACGCGAAGAGAAAACACAGCTCAAAGAAGATGATCAAAAAATGTTAAAAATTCTTGGTATTTTTATTGTTATTGCCATTGCAATTTACCTGTTTCAACAACCAAAAGATGGTGTGAGTGGATCTTATATAACTGATTCTATAGCCAGAGAACAGAAAATTAAAACTGAAGCAGAATATCGAGCCATATTCAAAGATGAATAAAATGTGCATCACACACACGTACACACATGTCAGAGAATTCAAGTGAATTTATTTCATAGCACCATTAATAGTTTAACGCCACTGTTAAGAGATGAATTTAAAAAAAAAAATGGGGCTGCGCCTTTGTAATCATGTAGCTTATAACCGTGAATTGTGAACAAAATTAAAATGAATGAATAAAACGAAAGTTTTATTTCGATTGAGACAATGTTTTGAATTTTTGTTGGCTTTTAATTTTTTGGCGCTTCCCCATTGAATAATATGTAAACAAAGAAACTCAATGTAGACATTCGCAATTGATGCGCAATTTTATACTTTATTTTACTTTCTTCCGCTCTTTTAGGATCGAAAGAATCTTTTAGCGAACCAAAAGATCTTACCGATAAACTTCGCGAAGCGCTAAAAAACAAAAACGTAGAAAATAGTATGAACAATGGCAGTAAAAATACAGAGGGTGATGAACAACCGACCCATAAAGCATCAGAAAATACTGAAAACGATCCGAATACTAAAGAAACCGACGACGAATCTGTTAAAAAACGTGATAAAGTATGATGTTCTTTTTTTGTCTTGTTCAATAATGTTTGTTTAAGAGATGCTCTTTTGTTTTAATTTTCAAAAAATTGCAGAAAATGTTGATAAAAAAATAGTTAAAATAAAGCAAAATATTGTAGTAAATGAACAGCGTTTTTCTTCATTTTTTAATATGTATATTTCACTGTTTTGCTTATAAAATAAAAAAAAAGTGGATGTGAATCTATAACATGCCTATCCAATTTATCTTTTTAAAACGCATCCATCTATATGCGCACCGGTGCAATCATCAGTTGTTAATTAATGCCATGAGCTTTTTGTAATCCTTGTAAAAGTCGTCGTTTCTCTTCGGCCAATTCTCGATAGGTTTGTATTGTGGCTTTGATTTCATTTGTTTTAGTAACATTTGACGATTTACAATATTCATCGAGGAAATTCAAGCAAATTTCGTCGCATTTTAAGTCATCCTCATTTTTGCCGGCAACTTTTTCAATCTCAAAATCAATATCGTGCTCCTTGCTGTCGATTATTTTCGAGTAGAAATATTCGTGATCACGTTTTGGATATCGTTTTAATTGATCCAAAATGTATACATCGTATGGGATTTTATTTATATTGTACATCAAACAAATGGCCTCAACAGCATTACGTAGATAATCACGTTCAATACAATCAATTACCAAATTATCGATTAATTTATGCCATGCCAAAAAGAAGGCCATCGCACCAAAATGACGCGTCGATCGTAAGGAATCAAAAGCCTTCTGTTTATTGATGTGTTGATACGTTAAACTTGTGACACGATGATAATCCTTTTCGAACGGTTCAAATTGGACAGTAGCTCGGTTTAGCACAAATAAATATTTACCTTCGTTTAAGAGACGCTGAAGGTGTTCACCGAAAAACATTCGTGGCGTTATTATACGACGACCATTGAATGGAAAATATGTTTCAATTACACGACGTTTTGTCAATTGATCGGCAGTTTCTAATACACCAGTTGGATGTCGAATCATAACGGTTCGATCTCGATCTTTTAAACCAAATGTTGTGTCACAAAATACAAATTTTGCTTTTGTATAACCTTGCACTTCGGGATCTTTCGCCAACACCTGGATGTTATCTTCTTCAATCGGCAAAATTGGTGGTATGGCTAGTAAACGTTTTGCCTGTCGTAATGCTCCAGACAATTTATTTTTCACCTCTTCTGCTGAATAAAAATGATACGTTGGTCGTTCAAATGGTTTGGGTTGCGTTGCAAATACACGATCAATTTGTAGCGTTGTCAGTGAATACATGAGCTCACGATTTGTTTTCTGCAAAAATTGCTTGGATGGATCTGAATCTGAAGAGAGAAATCCCAAAAGAACATAATAAAAATATTCAAATTCGTTGAAAATATTTAGCTGACTTGAATTAAGTGAATTCATAACCTCAAAAATCAGAAGAAGAAAATACAGAGAGCATTCACACTTACCATATTTAAGAAAATTATCTGTGTTATTTGTAGTGTTTGATGTTGCATCTGATGAATAATGGATCGCCGATCTTATATGCATCGATTTTGGTTGATGCATCCATCGAACAAAATGCACGCGACCAATCATTTTGTATGATTGTATCCTCTTTCAGATTTATAATGTTAAATTGAAGTTATGACTTTTAACCATACGCCTCATTTGACATCTACATTGACAATGACAATATGAACATAGAGGCGCTGCTCTCCAGAACACAAATTATTTTTTCTTACATTGATTTAAAAAATGAAGAGTAAAATATGGAAACGTTCAATTTTGTGAAGAATTAAAATGAACCTTAACATATTCATAAAAAGTCTTTGGAATAAATTCGGACGTTCGCCATTTGAACAACAAACATAAAATATTAAATTCGTTTTTATTGGTATAGCATATTAAAATTAGACTTTAAAGGGCCATTGTCTTCGATTATTCGTAGTATACGTCGAACCTTGGAAATCATGTTTTGGCAGATGTATGTATCCATTCCCTCCCACTTTCGCTTGATTCGACCCATCCACTGTTGCTCGTTCTGCGCTTCCCAGCCCTTCTCGTACACTTAACGTTTGAAAACCGACAAGAAATCTTCGATTGAACGTGCCTGAGGGAGTTTTGTTGGATTATCCTTTTTCGGTACAAAAGGAATGTTTTGTTCAGTGAGCCAATTCAATGTTTCTTTCGCATAATGACTGCTTGCAAGGTTCGGCCAAAACATGATTTCATCTTGGGCGTGATGGTTTTCAACCATGTTTTTTGCACTTGACAGCAGACTATTCGTTGTCCGGACACTTAGTTTTGGTGGACGACCAGATTTCTTTCTGTTTTCAGGTTCCTTACCTTCTCGATAATCTTTTAGAACACTATATATGGTTGATTGTGAGATTGGTTTCTCTTTAAACACTCGAAAAATTTCTTTTGTACTTAGTCTGCCAAAACAATTTGCGACAGACTTTCGTAAATCCAATTGGAAAAGTTTGCTTTTGACATATTTGCATTTGTTAATGAAACGCAATAAACGTCTGAATTTATTCCAAAGACTTTTAAGACATATGTTATGTTCATCTAATAATGTTCCGTTTAATTTTATTGATTGAATTTTGCGTAAATACATTTCTAGATTTTGTATTGCAATGGCACTGTTTTATTTTTAGTTTTTGTCTTCTATATATGTATAATTAATAAAATTCACAATTGAAACAAAGCAATGTTGCCGAATATGTGGTTTTTTCCAAAAATGAGATTTATTACTTGAAAACAAAATCAATTTGTTGTGTGAAAATGTTAGTCCAATTAAAGCGTCCAATATAAATTATAATCCATCGTGATGAACCGTTAGACCTTTGGTGCAAAGTGCATGACTCCATATTTACCCGTTTCCATCCACATTGGATCCAATTTTGATAGTTCATCGGCTTTTCCATCGGGTAATTCGCAAATTAAATCAGCCTTAACCGTTCGCAATGTGCATAAGTTCGTTGGCCGAAAAACACCAAGCACATCAATAAAATGGGTACCAAATGGCCAATTTACATCGGCCAATAGTTTGCGATAGTTAAGATCGCCTTTGAAAATTAATAAATGACTTGTGGCCAAATCGGCATATAACTTTGGTGCAATTGGTTCCATTGCTTGCATTTCATATGGGCTGGTCCAAAAGTATTCGGTCGGTCGAAGTTCAATGCGATTTGAATCAACATACTGTTGTAATCGTTCGCCAAATGCACGTAAAACTTTATTCTCACTTTTGGCCAATTGACGAATCGTCCAATGGAAATCACGATACACAACATCTGATATAAACCATGGTATGGCTTTGCAATGGAACCGAACTTTTTGCGCGAAATTATAGCGTAGAATGAAATCGGTGAGCACAAAATCGGTGAAAATTTCATAGCCAGCATTATCCATAATAATATCAATGGTGCATGATTGTCCGCCCGATTTCATGCAATTCCAAATGTCCGACGATTGATCATGTAATATACATGATTCAAACGATTCAAGACCTTCAAACGGATTACCCGATTGCTTGACTTCACGACCATTCGAAATCGATAGATCACATCGATTACCCCATAAATTTATCTAAAAATACATCATTTGGATTAGGAAGGGAGCGACAGCGAATTAAATTTACCGTAAACTTACACGTAACAGTTTGTAGAAAAAGCTTTCAAGTTCATGCAGTGTTGATGCTTCAGCCGTTGTGTATTTACTATAGAATTCAGCTGTGTGCTGAACTACCATTTCTATGGCAGGCAATGACGAGGTAAACGCAGCATCCTTTTGCTTACGGAAATAATCGTATGTTTTTAACGTGTTACTGAAATTAATACATCGAAAATTTAAAAAAAAAAATGTCAAAATCAAAGGATTTTTTTTTCTTTTCAAATAAAATGCTTATTTAGTCAACAAACTCACGTTTTTTCGAAGATTGATTTTAGTCGACGATACAAATAGCATTCCGCATAAAGCCACTTTGTGGAAAAATAGGTATTATTTTCGCTCAAGAGCCCAATAAACGTATTCCAAACATCCTTATCAGCCTCTGATCAAAATAGTACAATCATATTCGTTATTGATAAATGAACTTTTATTATGCTACCCACAATGATAAATTATAGTGCTCAATAAAAACAAATTTATTTTGAAATTTTCCATTGAAGTCTCACATCTCGTATTCATATTTAATTTCAATAACATTTAAATGCGCTCAAAGCTCGAAATTCCTTTTTATATTTTCACTTTCAATTTAATTTTATATATGACTTTTGACGACTCAATAAACTTCACATCCAATTGAAAATTATCGTATACGAGAAAATAAATCGTGTGAGAAAAATATACGACTAAATATACCTTCTCCATCCAATGGCGTTAGTTCCTTGTTGGTTTGTAGTTCGTATTTAAGCTGGGACATGTTGGCAATAGCTTCCTTAATATCGTCCTTGGATTCCTATGGATGAATGAATTTCAAATGTTTATTTAAAATCTACCAAGAACGGTGTGTGAAAAAAATGAGCGCATAGACACATCAATCAAACTGTTGCGACAAACGATGCTGATGCAAACGATTTTTTTTGTTTGCATTAGCAAGTTCAAATTTGTAGCGTTAATTTTGTGATCAGTTATTGTGGGTAAAATATATAAGTAAAAAACACTTTTCGAAAGTTTCCACTGTAATGTAGGTAATTACCTCTCCCTTAAAGATATCGGCGATTTCATCCTTATCACGGGTTGTTTGATCGATGATTTTTGTTAAAATGATCGGAAGTCTCTCTTGAATTGTGTAATATGCAAAACTCCTGTAAATTCCATAAAAATTATCAAAATACATCAAAGGCGAATTTTAAATCGTCAAACTTTGGTTTTACCTTTTGTGTTTTCCGCATAACGTTGCATTCGTTGGTGTTTTTTCATCGATAATATTGTATTTTAGATCGAATTCGTTCATTTTTATTGTCCCCACCACTCTCGCTCTTTCACTCAAATTTCACGTTGATATTTAAGGATAACGCAATAAAATCAAATCTATATGACATTAAGCGCACGAATGAATCCAATAAAAATGATAAAGGTCGAGACTTGAAAAAGAAATTTGTTTTTCTCTCACAATTTCACACACGTTCGCGATTATGTATACTGAGATAACTAATCTAAAACTCAAGTTAGACGGTGCTATTTAGTAGCGACCACATTTTTATAAATAAAGATTAGGTTTTTTGCATGTACATTCACATACGATATTGGTTTTGCACTGGGATTCTAATGTTTTTGAAACACCCTCTTTCTCATTCTCTCGCATATCGTGGAAAAGAGAGAAAGTAAATTGAAACTGTCAAATTTATTGAACTGTCAGTTTACTCACATTGACACAAACACACATAACCTCAAAAGTGTAAAAGAATAAAAAATAATAAATAACAACCGCATGGTGTGCACACAGTATTGACGTGCATCATCATTTTTTTTTATTTTGTTGCGAATTGAAATTGAATTTTGATTGACTTTAACTAAATAAAGATAGATTTTTTTCGAGAAAGGTAAGTTAAAAATGAACCGAGTTTTAGTGAATTGTTTATTATTTGTTAAATATTTACGTTTTACCATTGACTGTGAACAATGTGGAGTATATATTCTTGTTCTAAGCATAATTGTTTCTTTTTTATTCATGACAATTTGTAGAAGTTTTATACAAAGAGAAAGATGCCAAAAGTACGATCAACAGCTGGAGCACCTCGTAAAGAGGGCTTCAATCGGAGTGGCCATTCGATGAATCCAGAGCGTTTAACAACGGGTTTGAAAGGTGTCGCAAAGCCACGTACAAAAGCCACCATCAAACGATTACAAATGTATCGAAATTTTAAAGCAAAACGTAGCCCCGGCGGTAAAATTATAACACCCGCACCATTCCAAGGATGGTTATCGTCGGGTACAATGGCACGCGTTGAACCAACACCAAAATGGTTTAGCAATTCACGTGTCATTTCACAAAATGCTTTGCAAAAATTCCAAGAGGAAATGGGCAAAGCCCTTAAAGATCCATACCAAGTTGTAATGAAACCATCACAATTGCCAATCAGTTTATTAAATGAAACGGCAAAATATCAACGCGTTCATTTGCTCGATACGGAAAGTTTTGACACCACATTTGGCCCAAAAAAGCAACGAAAACGTCCAAACATTAAAATACGCGATCTAGAGGATATGAGCAAACAAGCCGAAGATGCAACCGACAAATACGATGAAAATAAAGATGTGGACTTGATGAAAGAAGAAGCCGATTCAAAAGATATTGTTCGTGATTGGGTATTTGGTGCTGGTCAAAGTAAGCGTATTTGGAATGAATTGCACAAAGTCATCGATTCATCTGATATTATATTACAAGTGCTTGATGCCAGAGATCCAATGGGCACGCGATCAAAATATATTGAAGAATTTATACGCAAAGAAAAGCCACACAAACATTTATTCTTCATATTGAATAAGGTCGATTTGATTCCAACATGGGTGACACAACGTTGGGTGGCGATTTTAAGCGCTGAATATCCAACCATTGCATTCCATGCATCATTGACACATCCATTTGGTAAAGGTTCGTTAATTAATTTATTGCGTCAATTGGGTAAATTGCACATTGATAAAAAGCAAATTAGCGTCGGTTTCATTGGCTATCCAAATACGGGTAAATCGTCAATAATCAATGCACTTCGTAGCAAAAAAGTATGTAACGTTGCACCAATTGCTGGCGAAACAAAAGTCTGGCAATACATTACGTTGATGCGACGCATTTTCCTTATCGATTGTCCGGGTGTTGTCTATCCATCGGCCGAAACTGATACCGAAAAAGTGCTTAAAGGTGTGGTTCGTGTTGAATTGGTAACGTCGCCTGAAGACTATGTGGAAACTGTTTTGAAACGTGTTCGTAGTGAATACATCAAAAAGACGTATCACATCGAAAAATGGACATCGCACGTTGATTTTCTTGAACAATTGGCCAAACGCAGTGGAAAATTACTAAAAGGTGGCGATCCAGATATACCAGCCATTGCAAAAATGGTTCTCAATGATTTTCAACGTGGTAAATTACCGTATTATATACCACCAGAAGATTTTGAAATACCAAAATCACGTGAAAACCAATCGAATGAAAAAGAAGCCGCTGATGACAGCCAATCGGATAAGATTTCGGTCAGTGAATCGGTGAAGAAGGGTCGTGATTTGCAACAAGTTCAAGATTTTCGTAAGATTCGTGTTGGTTTGGAATTTGAAAAAGATGATATTCGTGAATTGGAGAAAATCGATTTGGAATTGTTGGAAAAACAACGCACCGAACGAAAATTGTCAAGCAAACGAAAAGCAGAGAACGATGATGAATCATCTGGTATCAGTGATTTTTACTCAGAAGATGAATATGATGAAGGATTAAACAAAGTTATTCGCCGAAAATCGAAGAAAATCTTAACTAAAACGAATACAAACACAGCTAAGAGTCCAAACGCTGTCGAAACCACCCCCAAAACCACCACCAAAACTAAAGCTAGCAGTGGAGATTTCAATGTTGAAAATATCGATTCAAAAGAAGACAAAAAAGCACCGAAGAAAGCAACAGCCAAAGAACGACGAGCTGTGGAACGAGCACAAAAACGAAAGAAAATCGGTAGCAATTTCTATGAAACATCTAATGTTAAAAATCGTAATCGAAACAAAAAAAAGATGTAGTCTATTCAATGTAGCACACACTGGGCTGGATTGTGTTGACGCTCCAGTTATAGGTCGAGCATCAGGTCGAACTTTTGGGTTCGTTCCGGCACAAATCGCATTGCCCGAAATAATTCCCGGCATGAGAAAAAAAAAACTGAATAACACAATTTACACAAAAACGCGATTTTACATTCAGTTTTAATAATATAGATATATATATTTTTTTAATGTAAAAAATTGAAATCCTTTTTTTTCTCGGTCAACAAGCTAGACTGTATTGTTGATTTTTAATTCATTGTTGATTCCCACAATTTATGATTCAAAAAAAAAACTTTAATAAATCTTCTCGTCAAGAGTACAAAATTCATGTTTGTTTCTTTTTAAAAGTTTGAAAAAATTACTCGACCCATAGGTTTTCAGAGGGTCAAACGGTTCAATCACTCTTATCTGTGAAGCGGCTATGGTTTTCATTGCATTTTTATTAATTCTTGCCTCTTGTTATTGAAAAAAGTCAATTTATGAAAAAAAAAAAAAACATTGTGATAGCTCTTTTATTCTTTCAATTCATCAATTTTTTTAATTTAGTTTGAGAAATTTGTCAATTTATATGCTGCATTTCGTACAAAAACTCGCACAATATAATAATGAATGATGAACTCTTTTCTCAGAACCTGTAGAAAATGAAAGTATGAAAAAGATGGAAAATTTGTATAAAAAACAATCGACTACGGACGCTTAGTAGCAAGTCAATTTCTTGGGGAATGTTTTCAATTTAATTATTAACAAATGAGTTTAACTGAAATTGTCTATTCGGCCAATTGTTTGCACACGAGCATACAGATTTTAAGCATTTTGTTCAGAAAATAAAACTTCACCAATTAATTCAATTTTCCGTTATGATATGTATCACTGAATTTTTTTTGTTTATTTTCAATATTTTACATAATGTTTCCTCTCGTATTTTGGAATTTAAATATCTAATTAGGGACGTATGTTTTTTATTCATATATAATTCGAATTAAACTTAATCAATTTTTTACGAAAAAATCGGTCGCATAATGAAATATCTTATAATCATTGAGAAGAGATTTTCTTTTTCTTAATACGAAAGAAGAAAAAAACTCAAATTTATTGAGCAGACATAAAAATCGATGCCTAAATACAAACGTATTGTACGTATAAAACAGGAGAAATAAAAGATGTGCGTTACAATAGTTCATTTAATATCAAAAAAAAATTTGTTTTCTTCATTTTCAAAGAGATTTTCTAATTTGCGCGCCACAATTTCATTTTTCAATATATTTGTTTTTAAAATGTGGATAGTATACAAGTGAAGGTATGTCTTCTTGTTTCTTTTTTTATCTGATTCAGTCAATTTATGTTGTGTTCGTTTAATATAAAATAATCACATGCCATTGTTTTTTTTCTTAATTTTTTTCCCAATTCAATCACAGCGAACAGTGGGCGGCTGTTCGGGAAATAACAATTGTCGCTATGCTATATTTTTTTTTTCTTGAACGGGGTAGAAAACAGTAATTCAAATGTTTTGAAACGTCTTTGAATAAATTGGATAATATAATATCAGTGTTTTTTTTTTGGACATGGTTTTCTGTTTGAAAATATCGATAAATTTAAACGAGCAATTTGATTCAATGTAAAAAGTAGAATAGAAAAATGGCATATTTAGGGAGAAAAGCACCCGCTACAAAAAGAACATTGTGTTTTATAAAAATTGTTTAAGCAATCAATGTGTCAATGTGTTATTGATTCTCGATCAATCCTGTTTTATACTTAGTGTGATGGATGAAAATTGATCGATGTGACGCGAATATAGAAGAATTGGATAAAATCTATTTGAATGTCATTGAATTGAATGAAAGATGTTCAATGTGAATCATGTCTGCTATATTATTATAAATTCTAAAAAAAAAAAACAAACAAATTAGCACTCGTATTCTTTGTGAAATATGCCTTGCATTTATTAAGGCACAGTGCAATGCATTGGATACTCAGACTATGTGACTGTTGACAAACATAAAAAAATATGGTATATTGTGAGAATCATTTGTCTATTTTATGGTAAGTGATAGAGTGATACTGAAATATACATAGCAATTTAGACTATCAACTTGTACAACGATATACCATATGATTTTTCGTTTGTTCGTGTCTCTATATTTATAAGCATACTACTCTTGAATCTCCGCCGATAAGGAATCATACCAATGTGCACATTGCATAATTTCTTCTTTTATTTTGAGAGATATTGGCGCATGATGGTTCATTGATTGTGCATTTCGATGAATTTTGAATTGTTGTGTGTGTGTTTTTTTTTCGTTTTTTTTCAAACATCAAAAAAATGTAAGAAACATTCGACATTGTTTAAATATTTTCTCAAAATTATTGTTTATTAATTGCAATTATTGTTTTTTGTTTGTTCTTTGTTTGTCCTACGCCGAATAACGTTCGGTGATTTTTCTTGATTGACTCATTTTCGATTCTTATTTATTAAAACATATATATCTGTCGGTCCAGGTGTCAGTGTATGTATTGTTTATGTGATCGTACAAAAAAAACCATTCGACTTGTTTTTTTCTTCTGCTTTTTTATGTTTCATTCAACAGTTTTCAACAATAATTCACAATTTCGTCGTATTTATGTGATTTCATTTAAATGGTTAAAATAACAATAGCGATCGGAGAAAAAAAATGTCTACTTATTATCTCTATAAATATACACAAAATCGCTTGAAAAAAGAATTTTTCTATATCTACAATAGGCTTAATCGTTCCTCAATTCAATTCGATTGGTTCCATTGGGAGTTGATGTTTTGTTCTATTTTATTTTTCTTTTCATCGTCTGTATGGATATATTGTGACAATTTGAAGATGATATTGCATGTGCGACGCGGCGGTCTAATAAGTTGTCGAAATGTGTTAAGACGTACATTGTATTTTCGTAGGCAAAGAATTCAATATATAGTTCATTGAATAAGTTGACAAAAATAAAAAATAGATTAGTTCTGTTCGTTCGGCCACTTTACATCGAATTCAAACAGAAAACAAACACAAAACATTGGACACATTTTATCTCTCTCTCTCTTTCATCTCTTTCTCGAAAAACTATTCGACAGCAAAGCCACATGTTTCTTCAACAGCTTGTGTTAATTTGTCGTAGAGAAGTTGTTGCGTTTCATATGGCGGTAGATCGATGCGATTGAAACATGTGTGCGCTTTTGGTAAATTTTGCGTTGGAACATCGGCCGTTAAATGAATGGTGAACAAACGTGGACCAACCGCACCAGTTGATCCTTGCAATGCACGAAAACCTTGCAATGGCACACGTGATGACCCCGTTACAAATTGTAACACACGTGCACGCATCTCTGTTGTATACGATTCGACCGTCTGTAATTATACGGATTAAAATTTGAATATATATATTTTTTTAAATCTTACAATATAATCCATATAAATGAAAAACTAGATGCTTACCAGCCAAAACCATTGAACTTGTGGTGTTTCTGGTGTACAATGTTTGAGCCGTGTATTTGCCTTCCAGTCTTGAACATCAATTGCCTGTAGTCCTCCAATAATCAATTCTAATTCACGTTCATCGAATGGCCGCAACAATTGCATTGGTATCAAGTCACAAAAACCTAAACGGGTTCGAAGAAAAAGAGATACATAATGCAAATACGTACTCAATATATATATAAATCTAATGGTTGGTGCGTACCTTTTTGTAGCCATTGAAATTGTTGTTCAATTCCACGCATAAATCGATAATTCACATACAATTTAACGTATTCGCGCTTATTTTCTTCGGTGACGGGTATACTTGCACCACCTGTTTTTAATTCGTGTACAACTAATGCACCAAAGCTATTATTTTCAACACTAAATGTTGAATCAATGATTCCAGTTATTTTATTCTCTCTGTGTAAACCAAAATATGAATCGAATCGATTAAATCGGACGTTAAATATCTATGTTAATTGTAGTATTTTGTTATACTTACAGCATCCATGTGAGACTTCGATGCAATTCCGAATCAACACCTTCGATATCACTCAATGTAATTGGTTTATTGAGAATTTGCTTATAAAACGGCGTTGTAAAACCACCATCTAAACAATGCCCATGAAAAACGGCAATGCCCAGTATACGGCCCACAAAATGAAAGTAGGTTAAATGTTCCGGATTTATACCTGCAATTTACAATGGATTACATTGAATAACCGTCCACATTCAAATCGGATCTTGATGAAAAGCATATAATTGGTACCTGAATCGGGATTAATTTGTAGTGTATAATTGTCTTCTCTACTGTATTGAAAAAGGCCATATTGTGGATTGAGCATTTCACGTGATAGTAGATGCAACCATTCTCTGGCCACACCACCATAATCCAAACCTTCTTCACCGCGAAATTTGACCATTAAACGTTTACGCATGTCTTTCGGTCGCATTTTCATAATCAGTCTATAGCTTTCTTCAAAAACTTCAGCACGTGACACTTCCAAGCGACAGTGACCCGATTGTGGTTGCAAAGCTTGGAGTTCGGATCGTAAATTACGTAATTTCACATCTAAATCACGACGATACTTTGGCAAAAGTTCAGAACTTTCAAGTAAACTCTGTGGTAGATCAGCAGGTACAGGTAATTGTGATGAATTTATTGCTGGAATGCGAGATGCTGAATCATTTGTTGCTGTTGCCGAACCACCACTGCATGTTCGTGTACCACCATTCGATGCACTATTTGTGGATGATTGCTGTTGTGTACTCGATGTACCATTTGACGAACTATTCGATGAATTGTTCGCTTGATTTTGTCGCCGAATCATACTTATTATGTGACCATTTAAACGTGGATCCGTAAATTGTGTCGTTTTATTATTGTGATTCACATAATAAGCTCGACCGGTTTGTGATTTTCGTTGTTCCCATCCGGCTGGCAATGGTCCCAACGATTCTAAAGCTATGTTTTGTGAGTCAAAATCACGCGGTACACGCGGATCATGCCACGTTGATACACCGGACGGTATGTGATGGAAATAGACTTGACCTTGTTGTGTTGTTCGCATTTCTGTTAAATTGAAATTCAATTCGGTGGCTCGTATTATTATTCATTATTTATTATTAGACTGAGCACATTTTTTGTGTTCTTCAGTTCGATTATTTTTGTTAATTGTAAAATTTATTTTGTATACCATATCCATGTGGCAAATTTAATGATGGTCGCGCAAATTGAGCTCCACTTCGAACCAAACTAACGGCAGCCGCATTCGATGTAGATTGCCTCGATGAACGACGATTTGACGATTCATCTGAATGACGTGACGATCTTCGCGGTCGCTGATGAACATCGATTGCTCGCGGTGTTTCGGTTGATTCTGCTACCGATCTTGATGGTGACACTGAAATTCACACAATAATTATAGTTTCAAAGCAATCATTTTTTTTTTCTTCTTAAATGCTTCTTGATTTAAAATAAAATCCGTCAAATTGAAAATACAAAAACAGAAATGCCTTTATATTCACCTGCTAAATAATCGTTTGCAACCGTTTTAACATTGCCATTGACCGTATTTGGGCTTGTTGGTGGGACATTTGTTCCGTTCGTGTTGCTGGAACTGGAGCCAACATTTTGATTGGGTCGAGATTGTTGACTATTGTAACTGTCCAAGGCTAATGCATTGATATCACCAACTAAATTTCCTATTTGTTGCGGATGCAATGAACGTTTGGCCGCTTCATTTGTCGGCGTTTGTGCATACGGACTCGCATGACTTCCGCTCGGTATACTCGTTTCGGCCATTGTATGTGAAGGTGTTATGGAATCAGCTGATAATTGTCGCACACAATTTGGATTTCTATTTTTTTTTTTGGTCGATAAGAAAAAACGGATAAAATCAATGAGAATGAGTTTGGTGTGTACATTGCTCTCTTTATTATTTTTCTTTACTTACCCATTTGATGCTTCATTTGAGCGGCTTTGATTTTCATTTCCTAAACTAACTAAAATCTCTGATGAATGTCGTCTACTTATTAATTGATTATCATCACCGGGTAAATTTGAACCATTTGCCAAATTAAAATTTGGCGTTATTTTCGATGCTGGACTTGTGCTATTCTCAGCTGTTGTTGACGATGCTTCATGTTGAACATGTTCACTGGGTCGTTCTCGTTGCGTAGATACCGGATGCACCTGAAAAGTTGAATGGTTTTAGTTATATAACGAAACAACAAAACAATGTGAATATTATGTTTAACGAATTCTCACCTGTTGTGCATTCGATGCTTGCGTTTGAGGTGCAATTGATTCACGTTCATCGGTTGGTCCTAAAATATCACCGCCTGGTCCAACGATTGCCAATGGGTTACCACTGCTGCCACTTGATCCTAATAATTTACGAATACATTTTTATTGTATAAATTCGCTAAACATCAATTGAGTAAGCGTGAATTCGAAAGCACTCACCATCTCGTGACATTAACGAAACGATAATTTGCCCTTTAACCGGATCAATGTCATCTGCTGATGATTTACTTAAATCGAGATGTTGATCTGCAAAATATAACATCCGATTATTGTCATCATTCTATTTTAATTCTTATCTCCGTCATATAAATATTATCAATGATAATTTATTATCAAAAGAGACAGGCATATACAGATAGAGAGAGAGAAAAAAAAACAAATACTTACATCCGGTGTCTTTTAATCGTTGAATTGTGGCGGCACTAATTCGAACACAACCCAAGAAACCGCCGCCTTGTTTTTTATGAATTTTACGATGATTCCAAACTGAAATTGTGATACCATCGCCGCGACCCAAAAACAAATCGTAATGAGTATTCCATTTTGGACAAAGTGTCGCCTTTGATGGTTCCGTTGTATATACTTGACCCGTACCGTCCACCGATATTTTGACGAATGGATCAGGAAAGCCTGTTTTTTTACCCCGAAAAGAGAAAGAGGAACATTTTTTCATTGAGTAACTTAGATTTAAAATGGCTATGATTTAACGAAAACGACAAATGAACGCAAAATGAAATCATCAAATTGCGTATATTAGTTTGAACGATAGTCAATCCGATTTCATCGAAAATCTTTCGAAACAGATTACAATCTAAAAAGATTGTACGAAATTTAAGTTGTTTTGCTCAATGAAAAGCCACTTAAAATGTGATATCATTGAGGTTTTCCTCATTTTCGATTGACGAAAAAGTAACAGTTTTGTTTTGTAGTTTTTTTTTTCATTATTACTGCTGTTTTGTCTATGCTTTGCATGCTATTACGGTTTGCATTCTCTGCACGGCGATTAAAATGCATATGTTATTATGACATTGTGTTTCTTCTCTCGTAAAGTTTATGTGTATCATTTTTTTTTTTTGTTTCGTTCGAACATTCACTTGGACTAGATAACGAAAATCATTTGCCGGCGTAATAATTAAGTAATCCAAATACATAGCGAAAATGAAAAGCGTGTCGACGTATTGTACTTGTGCGAGGGCATTTCACGTGTGCGCCTATTTCCATCTGTTGTGTGGTTTTCTATTTTGTATTTTTTTTCTCAATTTTTTGCTTCACTTTATGCAGAAAATGTATGTGTATTGTGCTGAAGCGGAAAAAGATGTACCGCGCATGGAAAGAGCCCGAAATCGTAAGTGAGCATGTTTGAAATGGTTTAAACATGCTTTTCACTTGACTGCTCATAATATTTATTTTTCACCTCATATTTACGCTTTACAGTTTATTGTTATTAAATAATACTGTAGCTTTTTTCTGCAAACTTTGTTTTTTCTTTCATTTTCTTTCAAAAATCATCGCATTGCTCGATTCAAGACCATCATTGAATGTTTTTTTGATAGAGAGAAAAAAAATTAAGACCACTAAGCGTTCAATGTATATTATTATCACGAAAACAATAACAACAAACAATACATGACTGGGTGGAATACATTTTCATCTAGGGCAAATGTAAGATTTTTGAGAGAAAATCAAATTAAAGAGTCTTTTACGGTCGATGATCATAAATCATTTCGTCAATTCGACATCAATTTATGAGTCGCTCAATCAATTATCGCCTCTTCGTCTCATTTTCTTGCTTGTTTACTCTTTTACTACCTCATTGTTTTTTATTTGATTCTTCCGGTTGCAACTTTCGTGTATTTTCATGAAATGAATTAAATTATATTTTAAACAACAAAAACGAAACAAAAAAAACGCACACACAAACTTCAAAAACTAAATTGTTAAAGTGTTTAACAATACAATACTTACGAAATAGGTCTCGACGAACTAGATTTCGCGCACACAGAACTGTAATCATTTACCGAGAAATGAATGGGGAAGAAAAAAAGAGTAGAAAGAAAACAAAAACATGAAAATGAAATGTAGTGTCTTTCGTTGGATAACAATAACAAAAATAAATCAATCAATCAATTGGCATTAATTAACAAATTAACACACTTACTTGTAATTCGAATTTTCTGGGTGCCATTTCGCCGTGAATACTCTAACTTGTTCATTGTGTCTTATGTAAATATTATGAATATTTTGGCACAAGCACATTCATATGATGAAAAGTGAGAGTGACGAAATGCAGGGAACATTAGCAGATATTAGCTTGATTATCGATGGTAGTCTTCGGCAGCAGCATATGTATTTCGGTGATTTTGTTACTTTTTTATCTCTATCTCTCTCTTTTTTACGCACAGGTCACTGGGTTCCGTAAATAGTGTTCTTTTATTTGAAGAAAACAAACAAATATGCCGGTGTCATCCTCAAAATCTGAAAATGTAGAAATTTATGAAATTTATAATTTAGATAAATTCAATGTTTAATTTTGAAAATGAAATGAACTTGAAATGTTTTGTGAATCAATTTCGGAACTGTTATAGGCAAGGCGGAGGTGCGGGTCTTGTATTCAGGTGCGGCAATTGAAACATTATATTAGAGCAAGTGCGGCCACTTCTTCGGTGTCAATAACACCTCTGATTTGTTCATTAGAAAACAACTTTGAATCTCAGCCACTTTCACACTAACATCAACTACAAATGACTATTGGCACACATATTCCACATTACTATTTCCGATTTTCGTTGTTGAATTACGCATAATGAAGCGTATTGTTTCTTTTTATCGCGGGTGTAAAACAATATATATGCTATGTGAGTGCAAGGCACAGATTAAATACGATCAAGAATAAATGATTTTCATTTGTAAATATTGTCACGTAACACGTATTAATTATTTAAAAACAAATAATCTATTGAGTTATCACTATTTTGGATATGACGATTGAGAATACAACGAAATGTTACAATACAATCACTGCCTCATTGCATTTGTCAAAATTGTGAATTTCGACGAAGAAATAATCGTTTTCTTTTGTCTGTAATTTTCATTGTAAATCGTGTTGAATGATATCTTGCTTTTTTTTCATCTGTCTCCATATGACACAACAACATGTTCGCAAGCCTAAGGCATAGCTTAGCACACAAAATAATGGTTAATTGTTGACATTCGTTCACTTTAAGTCGTTTTCGTTGGTTGTCGTGTATTTAGCTTTATCATTCCAGTATTGCCGGCATGAATGGCATGACTTTATTATTGACTTCATTTTTTTTTAAATTCTTTCACTGTCTTGCATTCCGTCAGAGAGGGAGACTCTTTGCGGCGTTGATATAACCCTTTGTCTCGTTTTCACTAACTGGATTCTCTATTTACTATTACATTGTTCACAAAATGCAAAAATGCACATTATGTGTATGTGCATCCGATCGAATGCGATTGATGTTGAACATTTTTTTTTTGTTCACATACGCACTTTAGCATGGAGTGAACAACAACAACAGCAACAACGATATCGGCAGCAGTGCGACACAAGACATTCAATTGAACTCGTAGGAATGGCTAAAAAGCGAAAGATATAGAAGCCGAACATGATTTGTATAAAATGCTCGAAAAATGTTCCAGCATGAAATGAACGACCACAGTAATATCAGTATGTACATGTACATTGTACACTCTCATCTATAATTGTCTGCGTTTTCAGGCGATGTATGTACCGAAACATCCGATGTGTCTCTCTGTTTTTTTTTTCTTCATCCTCATAAATTTATATTATATATGATGCATAGTAAGTACGACGTGTGTTATTTTATTTTTTGCGTGTTTTCTTACACAAGTCATTTTAAGCCGTAAAAGACAGTCGCTTGTTTTGCTACCCCAGTATCCCCATTTACAAATGTTTCAATCTTTCGCGCAATCGACCATATAATATTTATTCATAATGCCATTCATTATATTCTAAGTGTCTAATGAAGAGTAACGAATAGATTTTGTTCTTCAATTAGTGGAATACAATTGCAATAGCAAAAGCGAAATAAAAACATATTTACAATCTCTCAGAATCCATTTACATATGCACGAATAACAGCAGGTGTATTTTAGCGATATATAATATGGTACATATAAACTCAACTATTCACGATTCGCGCAAAGGAAAAACCAACAACATTTTGTGGACGACATTATGGTCACTTTAAGGAAATATATATATGATTTTTAGTTCAAATAAAACCATCCCCATCAACAGTAAACATTTAATTTGATATAAAAACCATCAAATCAAATCAAAACATTCCGACACATTTGAAATTTAATTAATCAATTTGATTATTTCTTATGGCAATCACACACACACACACACACACACAATTCAAATGTATGCACATAGATATATTAGATTGGCTCTTGGAAATCAATTGGCTGCAATTAAAATGCAAAATGCAGATGATTGACTCGATTGTGACAAATTGAATGCATTTAAATATATATATAAATCACAGCTGAGAATGAATATTGCAAATCAGGCACTGGCATGCATGCATTTAAATCTATATATTCTTTAATTGAGTTTCGTTTTTGGTGTGTGAATGCATTGAATTGCTGCTCGTTTTTCGTTTTTAATTACAGAAAGACAGACATATTACTTTTTTTCGGTTGAAAAAAGAAACAGCTAGCATGGTTGAATACGAATTTTCTTCTCGGTTTCGGATTGAATGTGAAATATACAGGCCATTTTTCGAGGTTATCTGAATGTATATGTGTAATGAAGCACAAAACCGTGTCGATTCGATTTGATTTTCAACTCTTTTTTTTTTGTTCCGAACATGGATTACGTGTGTGGTCAAAACATATAATTGAATTTATGAAAAACTTTGATTAAAAATCGAATGCACAACAATAACACACATATGTACACGCACACACACACACACACACACACACACACACTTAAAATTCATACGGACATTGAGCTGTTGAGCTATGCCGCAACACCACTGTCAAATTGAAATGTTGCAATGGAAAGTGTCTAAGATTGCGGCCGCATTTTCATTTTCATAGACACCATACACAATACATATTACAAAAAAAAAACTATGTATGAAAAACTTTTGCGTTTTTTCTTCTTCTTCGGTGTGTGTCTTTTTTGTAGATGAAATCTTTGTGATCGCTCTCGTTCGGGAGTTTCCTATTTGCTTGAATTTGGAAGCGGCTTTTGGCTATTTGTATGCCGCCCACATTAAACACAGATATCGCACATGCACTTGCACTTGCACTTATGTAAACGGGAAACGCATTTTGAATGCGAAAGAAGAAGAAGATTGTGAACAACAGTGAACAAGAAGAGCAAAAAATAAGCAACCACAGAACCCGAACTCATTTCGCTGTGTTAGCAATGTAATATGGAGGTATTTAATGCACAGTAGATTTACACTTTTTCAAACACAAATATGATTGCTTCGATCATTCGATCATCTTCGCACAAATTCAATTTATCTTTCACCAATTTTAATTATTATTGTACCACATCTTTTTCACTTTACGCTTGACTTTTTTTTGTCGTTGTTTTGTTATTTGTTTTTACGTATTTTGCACAGCGCCATGAAAGAGATGGATTCAATCGCATCAAAAACTGAATGAAGTTCATCTATACACAAAAAAAAAGATTTTTGTACAGCAAAAGCGAAGAAGAAAAAGGTTGTGTGTTCGTTTTGGGTTGGTTATATTTCGTGTCGATGGGAACGGGATAGAGATGTTAAGAGACTTAGTGGTTTTCTGGTTACTTGTATATTTTCTTTCTCATATTATGTTGTAATTAAGCGGCGGATGAAACGAAACGATACGCAAAAATGTACGAAAAAGAAAAACGAAATAAATAAACATTAATGGACCCAAACCTTCTATGTAAGAGTCCAAGATACACGGAATCACAAAGCACAAGAAATGAATAGCACACAAAAAAAAAAAATTATATTAAAATGAAAACTCACTCGAAGACAACAACACATACGGTTGCAATGAAATGAAATTGGTTTTTTTTTATTATTTTGTACGCTGTCGCTGGTGTATTTTTGTTATATTAAAAATGTATGTATATATAAATGTATATATTGTTTTTGATATTTTGTTCTTCGGTGTTGTGTTTCGTTTTAGCGTGTGTCTATACAATTTTAATTGATATTATATTCAATGCAACCGAGCCATCCACATTCTTTCTCTTCGACGGCTATTGAATACAATCAAAGTCAAGTTGAGTGTTTGTGTCATTGCATGGATGTATGTGCTTGAAATGTATGTGTGTTTGTGTCTGTCTATAGTGCGGCTGTATTGAATTGCACAATTGTAATTGTGAACGATTGAAAGAGATATACGATATGCGATGAGTCGCATGGGCTTTTTGTACAACAAATGAACCTTAATTTAAATGAGTTTCCTTACGCTGATTATACGGGCAAATCATACTAACACATTTACACCACAATATTGTCGGTCTGCCGTCGATTGTGTGTGTCTCTCGTACAATGTATGACTTGAAGTTGATTGTGAATGATGCGTGATGGTGATGATGTGCGACAATGGCGACATTCTGATAATTTTGTGTAAATGTACTTCGACTATTTTCAATTTGATAAATGTCAAAGCGATTTTAATAAACGGCCGCCTATTTATTTCGATTATTCGCATACATTTTCATTTGAAATAATGATGAACTGAATTCAATTAAATGGAATCGGTTTTTATTTTGAATTATTACATGCACGCTAAATACGAGGGCTGCTCCATATATTTCTAGAATTGGCAATATTTAGTGTTGTCCGATACAAACCATGACAATTTTCGTTCATTAAGTTTAACATTTGGTAGCATAAACGATCTCAGAACGTTCTGTCATACACGCGCTATTTGTATTGTTTACAGTGACATCTAAATTGCATCTCAACAAAAAAATGAATTTTACTCGTGAAAATTTTCGTGCGATAATTTACTACGACTTTAGATTGGGTGCATCTCAACAACAGTGTTTTGATCAACTTCATTTGGTCTTTGGCGATGAAGCTCCATGCAAGGCCACTGTATATCACTGGTTTACTGAATTCAATCGTGGTCGTCATTCGCTCAACGACGAATTCCGTGAAGGTCGTCCAAAATCGGTTGTTGTTCCAGAAACTATCGATGCTGTCAGAAACATGATAAAGCAAGATCGTCATGTCACATACCGTGAGATTGAGGCATCCTTGGGCATTAGTATGAGAAGCATAAACACGATTTTGCATGAACATTTGGCCGTAAAAAAGATTTGCTCTCGTTGGATTCCACTTAAATTGACCGATGATCAAAAAATTGCTCGTGTGAATTGGTGTAAAGAAATGCTCAACAAATACAATCGAGGTGCATCAAAAGACATTTATAATATCGTCACATGTGTCGAATCATGGATCTATAGATATGAGCCCGAAAGTAAACAGCAGTCAACAGTATGGGTTTTCCAAAGTGAAGATAACCCAACAAAAGTTGATCGAGCAAGAAGCACTTCGAAGCAAATGGTCGCCTGTTTTTTCGAGAGAAATGGTCATGTGGCAACAGTTCCACTAGAAGATCGTAAGACCGTCAATTCTGATTGGTATACCACCATTTGTTTGCCGGAAGTGATTGGTGAAATAAGAAAAAGCAACCACGATCGCAGAATAATTCTTCATCACGATAATGCAAGCTCTGACACATCTAATCAAACAACTCAATTTTTGACCAGTCAAAACATCGAACTGATGGGTCATCCGCCGTACAGTCCTGATTTGGCACCCAACGATTTCTTTTTGTTCCCAAGCGTGAAGAATAAACTGCGTGGTCAACGATTTTCAACGCCCGAAGAAGCAGTTGATGCGTTCAAAACACATGTTTTGGAGATATCAGTTTCGGAGTGGCATGAATGCTATGACAAATGGTTTCATCGAATGCAAAAGTGTATCGATCATCACGGAGAATATTTTGAAAAACAATAAAGTCATTTTCAATAATAAATGTTTATCTGTGTTTGCTATTCTCAATATATAAGTAATAGCCCACGCAAATGTTTAAATTTTGCCAATTGCAGCAAAACATTTGAAACGGACATTTGAATCGAAAAAAAGAAAACCTTTTCAAAAATGAAAGAGAATAAAAACAGACGATTCATATTACAAATTTGATTTTTATTTATCCCATTAGATTTATGGTTTACAAAACAATTTAAAAAGTGTTTTGTGGTAATAAAGACTGTTGTCATCAAATTTATACTTGCACCACTTAAAAACTATACCATAAATACGTGTGACATTTGGTCCCACCCCCGGAGAGACGAATTTGAACTGACAGAATTTATTGCTAGTACAGTTATATATTATTATTTTTTTTCGTTCACTTTTAAATACAATCAGCATATCATTTACCGTCGTTTAAATACTTTCCAATATTTAACACAAACTCTTTCTCGCACACTCTAAATAGTGCAACGAGCGCACATTTTGAATCAAAGTAAATTGCTATGCCCATTTTTGTATTAAGTCATTAGATTTTTTTTGTTATTTTTTTTTTCATTGAAATCCCATCTCAAGTTTCATGTTTGCAAATTTTAAATCAATTTACATGCGATGACGTGTGTGTGTTTACTCGTATAAAATCCCATTGAAAAAAAGAAGATAGACATCAAAATAAATTGCAGTATTTTTCGACTCATTTTTGATGTACCTACGTCAAATTTTACATAAGAAATTCACAAAAAAATTGAATGAATTTTGTTGTTCATTTTCTGTGGAAAATTACATTACATTTTATGTGAAACATTGGACGTATATCAATAACGAGAAAAATGATATTGAATTGAATTGAGATACAGTGAAAAATTGCAAAAAATATGACAATTTTTTTTTGGATGTCGATTTTGGTGTGTTATGTTTTTGGTAAACAAACAGAATGTTTCTTAAATATATATATTAGCCTGTTTGCACATTTGCGCATAGATGATGTTATGTAAATCTACAATCTCATTTAGATTAATGTTCGAAATGGAGTTTGAATTTTCGTTTGTAAAATTCTCGCTTTTTTTATCTCAATCTTGCTTGCTCTGGAAACTGAAGGGAATTTTTTTTTTGTGACACCCACACAAAACAAAAAGAAAATCGTAGAAAATTTCATGAAATTTTGTTTGTTTAGAGGACAAAAGGAATGATTGCCTTTCTTTGTTTTGGATAGTTTTTGAATTCGTTTTTGTAGTTTCGATGTTTGCCAAGTGCCCATATGGCCATTTGATAGAAACCGGCAAATGCAAAGAGGAATGCTGGTATACAATTGGTCAAAATTGAGAAGCAAATCCATGAACCAACTTCGTATGTGTAATTTGGACAGGATACATAACTGAAATTGAAGGAGAAAAAGTCACATCATTTAGATAAAAACATAGTGAACGTTAATTGCTTTTGGATAAAACATACTTGAACAAATTGGTTAGTGGATTCCAGTCGGGAACGGGAATTTTACGTACTCGTGTACCAGGCGGTCGTAAATTACGCAGAGCAATGTGCGTAGCCAAATTGCCCAATTCACATAGCTTCAAAATGGAACAAAAATAATTCAATGTCAGACACATTAGAAATGAATTCGCATTAAATGATTACAAAATATGTGACAATTACCGCAAATCCACCTAATCCAATGTATGTTTGTAGCGTTGATGGTGGCGTGTACAATGGATGACACACATGATAAGCAACATAAGCAGTAAAACCCCAGTAGTAAGTGCAATTCTTGAAAAGATTCGACAATGGCATTGTGGCATGTGAAAAACGGTGCACAAATATTGTTTCATACAATCTTTTCACATAATGAATTGCATAGCAAGCGGCTGCAATACTATTATTATTAATTTTGAAAAAAAAAAGTAAAGAAAGAAGAAGAAGAAGAGAAAAAAAGGTTAAGTCGTATTAAAGTTCAAAATAACTAGATATAAAAAGTGCATGAATTAAAATCGAAAAAAAAAGTGTAAATTAACATTAACATACTGTTGTGTTGTTGTATATGTAGCTTCCGAAACATTTCCGAAAAAGATCCATGGTCGTTGATAAACAAACAGATAAACAGCCAATGGTCCAGCATATTCGCACAAAAATACGGTGCTCCAACCGATTTGTGGTCCCAAATCTTTCACATACAATTTACTGCCCGATCGTAAATTGAGCGATTGTAGTGTTTCATTGTCTTTAAGCGTTTTACCACGCGCTTCCAATCGAATTGCTTGCCGTTCAGCGTATAAATTAGGTGCTAATTTATGCACATGCACCTTGACATCAGCCACCGTAGCCGTTCCTGGTAAATTCAATTTACCGGCTGACTTAGAATTATGCGCATACAAAATTTCAATCTACAAAAAAGCACAAAATGACAATTAAAAAAAATTGATTAGGCATAAAATATAAAATACGCGCAAAAAAAACTCGGCAAATGAATTTTCCCGATGAGTTTCATTCAACACAAAAAAAAATCTCTCTTTCACTCTCGGTATTAGATCGATTTAAAAAGAAGAAGAAAAACAGGTTTTTTATTGATCACCATGGAATTCGTAACACTAAAATATACAAAATTTATTACACAAATTCAATGTACGACACAATTTACTTACATCCATATCGACGATGAATCCAATCACGACTGCCAATGCTCGGTGTCCAAGTCACTTTGATTGCCGTAAGCTTCTTCTTGCTTTCTCTTTACTTTTACACCCATATTATAAGCACATTCCAAGTGGTTTTTCTCTCTCCTCTGTTGTTGTAGCTGCTTTTGTTGCTATTGGAGTATATGACATGTGTATGTATGTGAGAATCTTCACATTTGGAATAAATTCAATGTCAAACGAACATCGTGGTATGTTATTATATACAAGTAATACACCAGATGGCAGTAAAATCACACGAATCACCTAATCTACTATCAATTTTGACATTTCAATCATTTAGACAACAACAAGTCTCTAGATCAGCCGAACAAAGTCTATTTACAAGTTCAATCGACATTTTTGCGATTCGATTCGTTTTGAGATTTTTCCTTTTTAATTTTTTCGGTTTTTGTTTCAGTTTTTTAATCGATTAAACTTTTTTTTAATTGCCGTAAACAGTGTTTTAGCAATAAAAATTATACTCAATCGAATCTATATCGAATATTTTCCAATTTTCCGCTAGTTTCAAAGTATTAAAACGAATTTACAAAAGAAAATTTCGACTACTTTTTGTGCGAGTGCGAATAATCCTAATTAATTATTATCAATGTTTCGATTGATCAATCGATCGAGTGGTATGTAGATTTTTTTCATCACCTGTCTTACAAAATCAAGATTGTACTTTGATCTTTGACCCAGTTCTTCCGTTGATACCGTAAATAAATAACAATGTTGTCAAAATATATTCGTTCTGCTCCGATTTGACGTCACTTGTTTTATTTTTCTAACTAAGAAAAACAAATTTTAAATAAAGACACAACAAACAAAAGCGATCAACCGACTCACTTCTGATTGAATATCTCTTTCACTTTTTGTATCAACGGATTTTTTTTTTGCAATATCGATTTCAAATGATATTTTTATTTAACTAAATTTTTTGAATATATTTTTTCCCGACTCGTCTTTACTTCATCCAAATGACTGCTTTTAATAACATTATAATCTTCATTTGATTTTCCCGTTTCGTCGAACAGTGTCGATCGTGCGGCAAACTCATCAACATATCTCGAAATGCTTATATTCAAGTGAAGCGGCAAAATATCCGAAAATCACCACTCATTACACAATTCATCCGCGTGATAAAGATCCGCGTTGGAAAGATGTGCCAATGGAACGTGATGCTGATGAAGTTGACATTGTGATTGTCGGTGGTGGACCGGCTGGATTGTCGGCTGCAATTCGTGCCAAACAACTTGCGGCTGAAAATGAGAAAGAGATTCGTGTGTGTGTCGTTGAGAAAGCCGCTGAAGTCGGTGGTCACATTTTATCCGGTGCCGTTTTAGATCCAATCAGTTTAAATGAATTGTTACCAAATTGGAAAGAAATGGATCATCCACTAAAAACTCCCGTATCACATGATGTATTCTCATTTTTAACGGAAACAAGTCGTGTGAATATACCAATATTTCCCGGTTGGCCAATGGACAATCGTGGCAATTACATTGTTCGTTTGGGTCATGTTGTGCGATGGTTGGGTGAAGTAGCCGAATCATTAGGAGTGGAAATCTATCCAGGTTGTGCAGCTGCCGAAGTTTTATTCCATGAAGATGGCAGTGTAAAAGGTATTGCAACAAATGACATGGGAATTGGAAAAGATGGTGCACCAAAAGATACATTTGCGCGTGGCATGGAAATTCATGGTAAAACAACAATTTTCGCTGAAGGATGTCGTGGCCATTTAACGAAACAAATTCTCAACCGATTTAATTTAACCGAAAATAGTGCACCACAAACATATGGCATTGGTTTGAAAGAAGTATGGGAAATTTCGCCGGAAAATCATAAACCGGGATTAGTTGAACATTCAATTGGTTGGCCATTGGATAAAAATACATATGGTGGTTCATTTTTGTATCATTTAAATGAGGACACACCATTGATTGCCATTGGTTTTGTTATCGGTTTGGATTATTCAAATCCTTGGCTTAGTCCGTATCAAGAATTTCAAAAATTCAAAACACATCCATCGCTTCGCAAGACATTGGAAGGTGGAACTCGTATTGCATACGGTGCTAGAGCGATTAATGAAGGTGGTTTTCAATGTTTACCGAAATTAACGTTCCCCGGTGGTTGCTTGACAGGTTTGTGCTAAGCAAAATTCGATATTCAATTTCCGACTTGGCTTTGAAATCGATCTTTTGAATTTAGGATGTTCGGCTGGATTTTTGAATGTACCGCGCATCAAGGGGTCACACTACGCCATGAAAAGTGGGATGTTGGCAGCTGAAAGTATTTTAGATGAAATTTGGTCAGAAACGCCACAACAAACAATTGGAATTGAACCAAAGAGCTATTCAGACAAGTAAATATCTTAAATGCCATTTCGACCTAAAACTTTTTTTCCATTTTCATTCTTTTAAAATGGTGTCCATTTGAATTTAACTTTCTAGAATAAAATCGTCGTTTATTTGGAAGGATCTCAAGCGAGTGCGAAATGTACGACCATCATTCCACACAAATCTTGGTCTCTATGGTGGTTTAGTGGCATCTGGTTTCACAATATTTATGGGTGGACGTGAACCATGGACACTTTCACATGGCGCACCAGATCATGCACGTTTGAAACCAATTAATGAATGCAAACCCATTGAGTATCCAAAACCGGACAATAAAATTACATTCGATTTGCTGTCATCGGTTGCGCTGACTGGAACAAATCATGAAGGTATTGCATTAACAACAGAATTTGGAATGCTTTTGGGCAATTGATCATTTTCCTGACTTTTTCGATACAATTTAGGCGATCAACCAGCACATTTAACATTAAAAGATGACAAAATCCCGGTGGATGTAAATTTGGCTGTGTACGGAGGTCCTGAAGCTCGATTCTGTCCAGCTGGCGTTTATGAATTTGTACCAAATGAAGAAGGTGGAAACACAAAACTACAGATTAATGCACAGAATTGTATTCATTGCAAAACATGCGATATCAAGGACGTATCACAGAATATTAATTGGGTGGTGCCAGAAGGAGGCGGTGGTCCCGCATACAATGGAATGTGAATCAACATTTTGGATAGACACACAAAATCCTTATTTGTTCATGTTAAATTTTTTTTAATTATTTGCGCTATTTGGCGCTCGATACATTGAATGCGAATTTAGTTAATTTTTCTAATAAAAGTCGAAATACAATTAACGATCGCCAAATTCGGCATTTCGACTTTTTTTGTTATTCAAGTGAATTCTACTAACTATCGCTACATTCACACTTCAAATTAAAAAAAAACGAATGAAATTATAAAGTTCGAAATTTAATCACTCTCGTGAAATTTGGAATAAAATCAGCGAAATGAGCGAGAACAATATAATATTTTTTTTTATCAAGTTTTTTCTATGACTTTCTTGATCGTCGCATGATTTTCATACCGAATTCAATTTATTTTGGCATGAATTACTTAAATCTACGGTAAGAAAAGAGATGAAGAAGTAAAATCAATATCATTTCACTATATCTAAAATCTAAATTGTTTGAATTTACAATATTATATGGCTCCTCTTCTTCTCTTAACTTAACTCTCATCTATCGAAGCGTTCAAAAGCTTGCCACACATTCATTTATGAAAATGTTCGTGAATACGCAGTTAAATTGTATCATTCTATTGTAGACTCTTGGTTTTCATTTTGTTTTGAAGATTTCTGTGAAGTTTTTGGCCGGTTTACATTGACTTTCGAGAAATTTCTATAGTTTGGAGAGTGAGCGCGATTTAAAGACCCTTTGCTTGGATCAATAGTAAAACAAATCATTTCATCGAAGGTCTAAAAATGTAAAAAAAAAAAAATTAAATACATTTGAAATGAAAAGAATTCCTTGATATTAAATTTACTTGTTTCCATTTATGATGTGGAATTGTATCTAATAATTTGATAAAATTTTCTTTGTCTTCTGTCGTTGGATACTTATTCAAACTTTGGTTAATTCTTTCAACCTGAAAATGAATTACAAAGAAGTAGACAAATAATTTACATCAACCAAAGTGAAGGGTTACTCACCACGTTAGTGTATATGTTAGCTTCCGGAAAATCTTTCTTATTTTGTTGAATGCATTGGATTGCCTCTGCAAAATAGCCGCAATCGGCTAATGCAATTAGCCGAATAAACACTGTTATTATTGTGTTTCCTTGTAATTTTTTGCTGGATTCCAAAATATCCAAGGCAGTTTTTGGATGACCCAAATTTATTGCCAACATACTGAGGAAGTTTGCACTTTGATGTAGTTGAATCTCTTTAGGCAATTTTTTCCATAAATCAAGACCATATTTTAAGTGTGCTTCTGTGTTCTGTCATTAATAAAATTGTATTTTTTTTTCTCTTTTCTCGTTATTTATCTGTCTATGAGATCTTACCAGCTTATAACAAGCAGCAAATGCAAGACAATTCAATTGAGCGGATAGTCCTTTGTGCTTTTTTTCTTGTTCTTCATTGTCCATTTTTATAATGTGTAACATATCCTCGTACATTTTGTGATTGAATAAAAGGTCCAATAGAACCAATTTCGACTGTATCTCATTAAACATCATTGGGATGTGTTCATCGTTGAAGATCTGCAAAGAAATTTATTCAAATTAATTTAATTATCAAATGGAAAATAAAATATTTACCTTCAACGCTTGGTCCGGCAAATCAAGGTAATGAAGCATCCGCATTACCAATGTTCCATACTTGAAGGCTTTTCTTTCCGCTGGATCGTCATATATTAAACGTAAGCTCGTTTGTACTTTGGAAAATTTTTCTACACATTCTTCTTTGTTTAGCACATGAAACCAGTACTTTATAAATGCCGCCAATTTTCCCGTCTCCGATTTTAATTCCACTTTCTTTGGATCAAATGGTAATTGAACCGATCGTCGCATTTCATAATCTTTGATTCCTAAGAAATGTTTTGAGAACAACGTTCTTGTACATCCAATCATCCCTACAATTAAAGGTTAATGAATTATCTAGTTTTTTTTTCGTCTATTTGTATGACTTACATAGATTTCGCACTGGCCGGTGCGTAATTAATTTTGAATACAAATTATTCATTATAAAAATTTATTTTATATAACAAATTATATTACACTTTTTGTTTTTCATTCACTCCTGAACTAACCAGATTTTTTTTGACATTTGGCAGTATTTTTTGACATTAACATGTGACGTTTCAATGAAACGGTTGCATAGGTGGCTAACCAAACCTCATTGATCAATATGAATATCAAAGCGGTTCGCTTAGCGACGTTACGCATTCTTTGTGATAGCGAACCAAATGTTTTCGGTACAAAAAATTGATATACCTGCGAGGGCTATGCCTTATTTTGAAATCCCTGCTGTTAATAACGATCTTAGTAAAACATTTTTAAAAAGTTCCTTTTTAAATTTCAATTCAAAATCTTTTTGGAGCATTTGATTTGATTTAACTGATGACAAATGAAACAAAATTGTAAATTCTAATAAAATGTCGACGTTTACCAACTAGGGTCTCATGTTCGTCTCTTCACATATTTCAATCTAATGTTGAAATTGTATGCCCAATAAATGAATTGGCAATATCCAAAAATGAAAGCACAGTACAGTACATACCGAAAAAGAATTGAATAAATATTTTACATTTGCTTAAAGTCATTTTCAGAATATTTTTATTGATGGTAACAATGAATTTCAATGGTCCCAATAAGATAAGACTTATTGTCATTTCATTGAGGCTTTCATTTATTTGCCTTACCCGCTGGAATTTTGAATTTGAGTCATGGCGCCAAAGTAAAATTTCTGGGTTTGTCATTTTTCACAGCTACATTAACAATTCTTTCTGTGCGATACGATTTAAGTTCAAGATCCAAACATCTGACTTGAGTCAATTCCAAAATTCTAGGAGATGCTCATGGCTTACCGAATTTCATTTGATTTCTTAAGAGGCTCAAATAGTTCTTCTCTGGCAAAGTTAAAAATCTATATGTTTGATTCAAAAATGCGACCAAATTAATTGAACGAATATTTTGTTTTTCTTTTATTGAGGAATTTAAATACATCACAAAAAAGGTTACAAGTCTTTTCCCCGCGATTACTTAATCCATTGTATAGAATTCATTTCCATTCAGCGATCACGCTGTTTCCATCTTGGATCGAATAATAGTCTAATGTTTTGTTCAAACTATCCATGTCAACGACGATATTATTTTCATTGTCAACGTATTTCAAAACCGCTGCCTTTTGATTTGATTTTTGATCGCCCAATAATTTTGCAACCAATTGTTGAAGTGTCAAGACCGTTATATTACGTGAGATTCGTTTAATAGTTGCCTGGTGTGTGTTCCCGTTGATTAGTTTGAGTGTGACAAAATTCGACACTTTTGGTGCAATTGATACAATATCATCCGGCTGGCCATATTCTGCAAGAGATGGAAAAATATTGTATCAACATTTAAAAAAATCACTCATTTCATTCGAATATACATACTTTCGATAAGTTTTGGATAAACTCGGCATCGCTTCAATAGATTTGCGCGTAGTTCATTGTTTTCCTTACTTCGGACCTGGAGTGAATCAGAAAAGGAAAACGGAATTAATGGAAATGAATAAACATGTAATGGGAATAGTAATTTTTAATTGATTTTAGCTTGATACGGACCCATTCAACACTGTACCGTTTCCATATGTCATATTCAGCACCACGTCGTTCGCCTGCGTTTATCAATTTCTTATTCAATATTGTCAATTTACCGATTTGGCCAATTGCGCACGTGAATGTTTCCTCATAGCCAATGTTATCGCTTATGGTAATCGATAGATTCGAAAGAGATGGAAGTTTATCTAATTCGTTAAATATCATTGCTTGATTAATTAAATGATTATCGTTCAAATTCAACTCTTCAAGGTTTGGGAAAATTTCCAAATATTCATCCCATGCGCAATCGGGCAATTGAATCGTTTCAATGTGTGTGGCAATGCAATAGAGCGTTTGCAGTGTTTTAATGTTGCCCAATTTAACCACTTCATTAAAGTAATTCAATGGATTGCCCTTTAAATCGAGAAATTTCAAATTGCGAAAAATTTGCGTGGTATCCGGCTGTTGAAGGAAACTTATAGAATTCTCTGCAATTGACAATTGCTCAATATCTGGCCATAGACGTGCAATGTGCATGACATTCGACCATTGTCGTAAGTTACATCGACGCAAATTTATGTTCTTCAAGTGGCGGAAGTACTTTTCAAGCTCGATTATTTCCTCCTCGGTTGGTAGCCGCAATCGGTTTCGCCTTCATCGTCAATGGAAAATCGCATGCAAATAACAAATTGAAAAAGCAATAATAATAAGTGCAAAGTTCAATGTATAATAGCAATTGTATTTCATTGGTCTTGCGTTTTGATTACACAGTGACGTGTGTGTGTGTGTGTGTGCATCATGTTTTATTTTCTACTCACGTCAAATCCAAGTGCTCCAATTTTGGCAATTGCTTCACAATATCGGCTAGAACATTCCATGTTGGTATGAGAGATGCACTCAAATCAAGCACAAGCAAATTGGCAAATGGCAATAAATCACCAGCACTATTTATATTGGAATTTGGAAGCGAAACTGTTGTCAATTCCTTGCGATGACTGAAATCCATAAAGCAAAACAGACATAATTAATATATAATCACATGGAATTGAATTTATCGGAAAGATTCACACGAGAATTCTTCTTTTACATACCTTTCTTTGTCTTGTACCCTATTGTCGCTAACAAACTCAAAAAGTGATGCTTTAAGTTGACGTTGAGTGGCTTTCAATAGTTCATTATCCAAAATCGCTTCAAACATATATCGACATTCGATGGCCGTACGCACATTCTCAAATTCAGCAATTTTTCCAGGTCGTATCATTGACCCAGATGTTGGATAACTGGTGTATTTAATATGATACATAAATCAAGAGAGAGAAAAAAAGATTCAAATATAAAATAACAATGACATGGCGTGTCTTCCAGCGTGAGGACTATTTGTTATTCACAGTTAGTGTTATGCAGTCTATGACGACTATCATGGAATAAATAACAATTTATTTACATAATGCATATATGCAGCAAACTGTTTTGTCAGTGCTTTATGTAAGTAACAAGCATCCAAAAATGTAATTTTAAAATTACAATTCGAACTGTATATATGCAGTACATATGTGAAAAGCGAGAGTGTGAGTGAGAACGAGAGAACGATAAAGAGGTCACAGGAGAATGGAATATGAAGATTTACCTAGTTTCGAAGTACTTAACACCATCAACAGTTCCATTGTGCTTGCCACGTTCTGGATTATCCCATTCAACGCCAATATATAAGCCTGCGTGACCGTCGACCTACATTCGTGGCCATTTGTGTATCGTCCAAATAATATCACAGACACACAGCCATGTAAATATGTACCGAAAAATGATGAAAAAGAAAAACGGATACCAAACGATATAATCATTATCAACAATAACAACAACTACAGAAAATATAACATCAAAATTAGATCAAGCATTTTACCACTGCAGAATCGAGAGACGAAATAAATAAGAGTGGAAAAAATAGTTTGTTTTTAGGTCATCACAAGAAATGTTCATTCAATTAGATGGAAAAATGGAGAAAGAGAGAGAGAGGGTGTGTGTGTAAAAGAGCGAAAGAATATTTTGGCGAAAACACAGGAATATGATATAATCATGATGCATGATTTTAATCCAAACTGATGATCAGTAGTTTTTGGAACTGTAACAAATATTTGCGCCAAAATCACTGAATAGCATTTAATGATGCATACTGTATTGTTTGAATGACGCATTGAATAAACGTAAAACATGACGTATTTTTCTCAAATATTTTCCATCTTCTTTGATTATGTGAAATGACTCGGAGAAAAGTGTTGACTCACAATTCCGAGCATGACCCAGAAACGATTCTGTCAATTTATTATCTATGCCAAAACTTGTATACACATTAACGCAGTCTGTGTGTATCGACTGTTTTCACTTTCTTCAAAAGAAAGTTTCATTGTCTGGCTGAATTTTTTTTCACCTTTTTTATTATTTATTTATTCAAATTTTCAGACAATGGCCAGTCAACGAACAGAAAAACATAACGATATTTACATAAAAACTGAAATTGTTTTTTTTTTTTTCGTGCTCACCTTCCCGATGTATTTTATAGTGGCCAAATCATTATCGCCGACCCGAATCCGGGCTCCAACTTCTAAATCGCTAACGTCGACTCGATTATTCATGAGGTTGCAGCAATGCGAACAACGACCAACCATACTTAAAGGATTCCAATTTGTGTGGGTGTATTGTTGATATTCGGAGAAAGTTTCCGTGCACCTGTGCACTTTTTGCTTTTTTGCTAAATGCTTGTTTATTCAATTTGTTCGTACAATCGATGTTCCTCAAATAAATTATTTGACAAATTTCTTTTTCGCTCACTTTTCCTTGGTTCGAATTTCAATTTAAGGCATTTGATGAAATATCGGTGCAATTTGAATGTTTGATTGAAATCCAATAGACTTTACGTGCAGTTTCGAAAAAAATGTGTTGGAAAATTCGAAAGGTTTATTTTTCTTACATTTCAAAACAAAGAAAAAGAACTCTGGAAATAGTAGAGACTGGTTTCGAGAGAATTCTGCGACGAGACGGGCACTTAACGAAAAATACAAAAAAAAGTGTTGAATAAACAAAGTGCCAGACGTTCACTATTTGTTGGTTGTGCGTAAACGGTTTGAAAATCGATGGATCTGTTTATTCGCCAAATCACATAACGTTGTTATTGTCGACGTACGAATCGGTTGATCTATTTCGTCGTGTGTGCCTTTATTTTCACCGTTTTGCTTGTGATCCTAACGACAGGTAGACGAAAAATGTGCTTGCAGTTCACATGTGGTACTCGAAATATTGTTGTCGCGTACTTCAAATTCTGATGCTCGTCGAATACTAAAATTGTGGTCTCGTTCGTTGAATACCTCAATTGAATGCATTACACAAGTGCACTTGGATGGTTCCAGGAATCACTTTCTGCACTGCAACCGATTATATTTATATGTATAGGATATAGAAAATAAAACAAGACAAAATGTCACACACACGCAAAACACACCACTTTGTTTGGTAGAGCGATGACTGATTCTGACTCCGCTGTTTTTTTTCTATTTCAACTTCTTCTTCTTATTATTATTTTCGGTGCGATTCTATGCAAGCGCGTAACTTGTCACATTTGAATTTAGCAAATAATAAAAAAAATGTGTCATCGCTTGTCTCGACATAAACCAATACAAACATAAACATAACATAAATACATTTCGTTGTGGTTTCCATTCGTACCAATTTGTACATGGATACTGTCGCGTACCACCATCTCTTATGCTCGTCTATCCTTTTACTCAATCATTCTTGCTCGCTCACTCTCTCTCTGTATATATAATTCGTTCATATGGAAACTGGAATAACCAACGAAAATATATACATTCAACACACATACACTCACATCGAATTAAATTCATGAACGTTCTCATTTGTGTGGAATTCGGTGGAATTGAACGTTTTAAAAAAGATACACACACGAGCTATGATCTTCAAAGCACGTCATTCTATATACGTTGTTTGTAATTTTTAAAATTTTAAAGTCCAAATCAAATTTTCTACGCATAATTTTAATTGAACAAAATAAAAATCGATTCCGCATAAAATCATCAATTTGGTGTTTTATGATTTAATTAAAAAAAAAATTCAATGATAACATTGACATTTCAACATCATTGACAGTGACAGTTTTACTTTGTGAAAAAAAGAAGAAATAAATGTTCGAAGACAAACTATTTGCTGCAAACAAATAGATTTTTTTTCCGTACATTTTGAGTCTTAAATCTGACTAAGAGACATAAAAATGAGTTCCGGTTTTGTCACAGAATCCGAGGTTGCTGAAGCACGCAAAAAGCGTCAAGAAGAATGGGAGAAAGTGCGACAACCAGATGAACCCATGGGTTAGTACATAGTTACTGATTCTTTTTTTTTTCTTCAATAAAATTTGGATTTAAATTGTAGAAAGACCCGAAGAGCCCTATGATGGTCGTTCACTTTACGAACGTCTCAAAGAGCAACGTGACAAAAAGGACCTTGAATTTGAGGAAACACACAAACTTAGTAAGTGTTTACACAAAAATTCTGATTCGTTTGTTAGGTGGTTTGATTATGGTGTTTCTTTTCAGAAAACTTGATTCGTGGATTAGACGACGATGAGATTAATTTCTTAGATATAGTCGATAAAGCGAAAATGGAAGCAGAAAAACGTCAACAAATCCAAGAGAAAAATGAATTATCGGAATTTCGACAGCGTGTCGCTTCGCTTCAAGAGCAAACAATTGACAAGGTATAATATTGTCTTAAATTAGTAAACTACGTCCTTGATTTTCAAATTGATCATTGAGTTTATTTTATTACAACAGAAAATAAGTATAGAATCGGCCATTTCAAAGCCAAAAACACCGAAACCACCGGCAAGACAGTCCCAAAAATCAATTTTAGCTGGCGCAGTAAGAAAACGTGCGGCTACAGATGACATTGACGGCAAACAACCATCAAAAGATGAAGTTGTACCGGCAAAAGTGAACAAAACAAATGATAACACCACGTCATCGGTTGAAACAAATGGCAATCAAAATACTGGCCAAAGCGAAAATTCGACTAGCACAAGCAATACGATTGATTTGAGCGTTCATAATAAAGGTGCATTGAAATGTGTTGGCATACTGCCCGGCATTGGGAGATATAATGATTCGAGCGACTCTGAAAAAAGCACAGACACCGATGATGATTACGATTTCAGCGATTTCGATTGGATCGGCCGCAAAGTGAAGAAGAACCATGATGATAGCTGCGACGAATAGTATCATTAAGGTGGCATTTTAATGCATTCAAAAAATATCTGAGTTGTTAAATTACACAATATCTTATAAGCACATTTAAATAAATAAGCGGATCGAGAAATCGACAGTGTGAAAAATGCATTTCAATCCATCATATTATTTAGCCACTCTACGGTATTCTTTTCTTAAAAAAAAAAAACATTTTACTTCACAACTATCAAACTGCCATCTGCAGTACAAAATTAAGGCATACACAAACTGAACGATATAATAATATCGAAACTATCATAATTATTCAGATTTAAATTGGTTCACAAATTTGTTGAATTCTTTTAAATCAAACAAAAAAAAATGTCAATCGAAAATAAAACATAAATTTTGTACAAAATCAAAATGTTGATTCAAATTCAATATCATATTTCGTTGAAAGTATAAACAAAAAAAGATCCAAAACAATGGATCCAGTAACGACATCTGCAGTGAAAACTGCTTGTTGTATTTGGCGCCTTTGGTAAAAAATAATCAGCTGTCAAACGTTAAATGCCGCTCTGAGTATTTTTTTCGCTTGCTTTCAAATCTAGCAAGAACACATACAACGCATAGAAGTTGAAGTGAACGTGAATACGCTAGGCAATTTGAACGATACATCAGTGAAAAATTGTTTCATGATACAATAATTTAGTGACTATTTTACGAATCTTATCATTAAAATTTTACCATCAAATTTTCCACAGCGATATATAAATTTGTCGTGTTTAAATTGGTGTTAATTTCAACTGAATCGATAAATGTGAACGCAACATTTTTATCGATTAAATTGTGGCTCGACATTAATAGTTTGATTTTAAAAATCGCCATTTTGACTCATTTGGTGTTTGTAGTTATTGCAAGAAATTTTTTATTTCCATCAAATCAACGAATAATTCACACATTTTATTCATAAAATTTATTAAATTTGAATTTAGTGCATATGAATTGTGAAGTTTATGTGATTTTTAATAAAATTATTTGCACAGACATTTCCATGGAGCTGCTCGTATATGGCATAGACATGAACACCATTCGATGTGAATGTTAAGTGAAAAACTGTTGAGCATCACAACATCCGACGATATAAAAAAAAATGTCTTGATAGCAAAATATCGGAAATAAATAAAATCAGATAATAGATGGTCATCATTTCTACGAGAAAATAAACAGTGTCGAATTGTTCAATTGTGATGTATACATATACGAATAGGTCACAAAACTCATGCCTTTGAACAGATCACTCAAATTATTTATCATCGAACACTAACAGACTTATGACATAAGTTTTAAGACGAAAACCGGTTGAAGAAAGTGTTTATATTTTCATTAATTTACGGCGTTTTCTTTTGATTTTTCGCAAGACAAAGAGAGAACAGAGAAAAAAAATAATTTACTAAAAATAAATCGCTGACAGCAAGAACAGAATTATAAAAAACAGAGAGACACAGAGTGAAGTTTAAGTGTGTGATTTTGTATTCATTTTATTTTCATTTGGCATCATCACTTGTTACCGAACAATCCAACTAAAATGGCTCAATCACAAAATAATGCCGTCAACGTTCTTATCCATGACGCCAATGGTAAGGGTGCAACAGTTTTTCTTTGCTTCTTTTTAATTTACTTCGGTCGTAACGATTTGATTGAAACACAAAAAAATGGTCATTCACTTCGAATCGTAGGGTTAGAATAACACAACTAATTATTATGGAAATTAAATCAATCAAGTGACTTCGATAATTTGGCCGGCTGTTGAACCTCGTTTTTCATTCAATTGTTTGGTTCTTTTTTTTTTGTACAAATTCCTGGTCGTCTTTAATTAAAGTCGACAAAATTCAACTGTCATTAAAATGCTTTTCTGATTTTCCACTCGTTTTCGTTTTCTTCTTGCGAAGCATTTGACATACCACATCGTACACATGAACTTGAATAATGTACACACTTTTGCTATTTCATCGTCATTCACAATTTTATTCCAGCAATTGTTCGTTTACATTAAAATACAATTAGAAAAAACGTTGTTTACTTTTGTGAATTGACATTCCGATATCTATTAGAATTTCGAACTCAATGAGTCCCTATGGAAAAATGACACATTTTCAGTTGTCAGTGAAACGTCGACAAATTTCTACTTCGTTTTTAGTAATTCAGAGTTGCAACACAGTTAGTTGCTGAAGAGTTTTCAATAAATGGATTATCTTTTGATGGTTTTCATCGTCAGCATTGCAAAATTGGTTTGTTGATCTGTTCAAATCGATTTCTAGTTTCTCTCAATCATACTTTGTGTTTTAAAAAAAACGCCACCACACTCATTTTCATTCTCGAAATCAGTTGCAGAGCACGCATATTGTCAATGCTGTTGAAATTGATGCGACCACCACTGACGCCAACAACAACAAAACCGATTCAGCAAATCGAACGCAATATTTTATATTTGTTTTGAATTCATTGTCAACGTACAAAAATGATGAATTCTATAATGCGTCAGTTGATTGTTTTTTCGAGCAATTGAATGCGACCAAAGTGCTGTTGATCAAAGAACCACTTGAAGCATTAAACGAATGTAAAAATGCATCGTGTTATAGTGATGTGGGAATCGAAATGGAGCTTACTGTTGAAGAAATTGCCGAACAAATGCAACGTTGTTTGGATCAAGCCCATGCCACTGGCTCATTGTATACCGAACTGATGAAAGCCATCGAATACTGTAATAAACGATCCAAAATGCAACTGGACCAACTGATTGACAAACTAAAATCGGATAATAGTGCGGTCATTCAAAATATTCTGCATCGAATCATAGCCATCGAACAGAAACTTGAAAATCAACATCGGGCTATTGTTAAAAAACGTGATAAAAATATCATCGATTTCATCAAAGAGTTACTTGTTTAGTTAGCTAAAAATTCAAATGGCAACACAACATTTATGTGTGAAAAATGAAACTCCACAAATCCACATTTTCAATGCTTGTTAAAAAAAACAACTAATGATTAATAATAACGCATAAAATTACACGATATTCTGTTCTTCATTTTGACTTCGTATTAAATAGGAAAGTTTGAGCGCACTTAAATCGAAGATATTCGTCCTTCTTTAATAAACATCTGTTCTTTTAATGGAAGATGATCATTGCATGTGTCAGTTTGTGGATAGCAATAATAACAATAGCAGTAACAATATAATTCAATTCTATTTCGAAAATTCTGTTTTGAAGCGTCTCTCGTACGCATATCTGCTTGTAGATTAACAACGTCTGGGTAGCGTATATTCGTATGCGCGTGAAAACGAAAGTGAATGGTTTTATTTAGGCATGTTATTTGTATTGTTCAACACTTTTCAAAGTGGTTCTTATCCATATTCGCCTTTCATGCATTTACACAGCTTGGTCGGAATTCTTTATCGTCAAATTCGTAATATTATTATAATTTCGATGCAAAATCCATTCATAAACATTCGAATCAAATTTGAGGCAACCAAAAATTGGTATCATTAAAACTGCGACGCGTCAAGAGAAAGTACGAAATTATATTGTTATTTGGGCCATTGCATATTACAAGTGTGGGAAAAAAAGACTAGGGAGACCAAATATTAGGAGGGTTCTATGTTGCTATTGTGTTTTTCTTTTCACTTTCGATTGACATGTGTTAATTCGCTTCGGCAGATTTGGTGCGATGGAAAATTTGATGCCGAAGAAATTGATCCAGAAAATCAAAATTCTTCAGGGCAAGTCTCTCTTAGATTCGCGTTCGACAAAGTCGAAAATAAAAATCAACCATTTTATCCATATCTGCCGATCACATCGGGATTATTTTTTGCTCTTTCTTCGAAAAAAAAAACTACGAACACGCACACACATACATCTGTAAATAAAAGGCTCATCAAGATCACTTATGGTAGAGAAGTTCTGAATTGGACATTGCGTAGCATTGCGTGCAGATGGTGTTCAGTGTTATGGTTTACATTGTCGAGGCTTTTTTTTAAATTATACTTGCTTTTTTTAGCTTTTCTCCACACTCTTCCATGTCGTCTCTCACTCTTTCTATCTCTGTGCCGTTTAGAACCTTTCTCTTTTCTTCCTCCATTGTATCCGAGTGTTTTGGATGGGTAAATCGGTGTGTGATGTACACACACACGCGCACAGGGGAACAATACGTGTGCATTTTATTTTTTATATCGTTGGTTTGTGTGCTGTGGTATGGTGCGTTGAGCATTTACAATTGAAATTTGTTGAATTTCTTGTTGTTGCTATAATGGTTCAGGTAGCGTGTATACTATGTTTTTTTTACTACGGTGGTGTGTGCAGATGTTTCTTAGGAAGCGATCTTTTGCTCGTTCTTCGTATTCCCTCTTCTGTATTTCATTGATCATCGCTGTACGCACATTTCACACTGCATATTATGGCCAGTTTCGATTTTATATTGATGTACTGCTTATACTAAATTAGTCAACGTATGGTTTTTGTTAGTCAACACGACAACAACAATTTAATTGAATTATCAAGTTGTCTGTCGTTCATCACAAGTGAAAAGGATTTCTTTGCGGCCAATTTGTCAAAATCAATCAAATCGTGATTACAGATCGATTTTTTTTTTCACTGACCAAAATCGGTATCTTTCAATTGTTATGATGAATTGCATTTTTAATTTGGATATTATATGACATGACACCCATTTTTGTTTCATAGGACAACAACAAATCATCAAAATCCTGCCGAATAGTTCAGGTCAACAATTGAAGGCGATTTCTAAGCATGGTTTACGTACGACTGACACAACAAAAGTAGTTGCCCAGGTTTGTTTTAAACACATGCTTTAACGGTTGCAATTAAACAAGACCAATTTAAATCAATTAGAAGTCATATTGAATCTTTGGGCTAATTAACAAAATTAGACTTAATTTATTTGATGATTTTCATTTATGAAGTCGAGTACAAGGTACATAACATTCTATAATAATTGCAGCGATCAGTGGGTATGTCTTCAACATCACAATCATCCGGTGCAAATCGTATGGTTACATCCACACCAACACGAATAGACATTAAAGTAACGCCTCAACAAATGGTAAGCACTAAAAAGATCGAAAACATAAAAGATCGTTGATTAAAAAAAATTGTGTCCGTTTTTTGTTTTTTTTATAAAGGCGGCTCTAAAGTTGGGCTCACAAGGTAATAACGCACGTATCGTACAAATTGGAAATAATTCGGGATCACACAAAAATAATTCGAAAACAAATATTTTGAATAATTCACATGGCATCAAAAAAGAAACGTAAGTATACATTGTTATGAAATGTATAATAAAAGAAGTAAATTCAATAGACGAATCATCGTTTTATTTATGTATTTATTTACAGTCAATCAGTACAAAGTTTTATGCGTCGTCGAAGGAATGCCGATCGCAGTGGCAAAGGTTTACGTCATTTTTCAATGAAAGTTTGTAAAAAGGTGGAAGAAAAAGGTACCACCACTTACAATGAAGTTGCCGATGAATTAGTTGAAGAGGTAATATATATTTTGTTTGTGTTTTATATCATTTTGACCGCAAAATTGTTATTTTTTTTTTATTTTATTCAGGAGGCAAATGGTCAACCATTGGACTCGTCAAACTATGATCAAAAAAATATTCGACGTCGTGTATATGATGCTTTAAACGTTCTTATGGCAATGAATATCATTTCAAAAGACAAAAAAGAAATTCGTTGGATTGGATTGCCCACAAATTCGGCACAGGTATTATTTTAATTTATTACATTTAAGAGCGAGGGAGAGAGAGAGGGGGAAGTTTTGAATTCACTTGACTTTACAATTGTGTTCGTCATTTCAACAGCAATGTAGTGCCTTAGAAGCCGAAATGGAAATGCGAAGAGAGCGCATTGAAAGTAAACAACAACAGTTACGTGAGCTCATCTTGCAACAGGTTTCGTTCAAAAGCTTAGTTACACGCAACAAAGAAGCTGAAGAGCGCGGTCTAGTGCCATCAAATAAATCAGCGATTCAATTGCCTTTCATTACCGTTAGCACACACAAAAAAACACAAATCAATTGCAGCGTATCCGAAGACAAGTGAGTGACGAAGACACATTTCTTACATGGATTTATTGTCTATCTATTTTTTCGTTGCATCGTGGAATTTTTTAATAAAATCTTCTTTTCTTCTTCTCAAATTAGATCTGAGTATTTCTTTTCGTTTGACGATAAATTCGAGATTCATGACGATATCGAAGTTTTAAAACGAATGGGTCTACTATTGGGTAAATATGAATCTTTATCATTTCTTTGCTCAATTTTTCCATTCTCACTCACCGTGAATTTGAAACCATATCAAAATTTTGGTGAAAACATTTTTAACACCATCACATTTTTATATCACGTGTTTATAGGTTTGGACAAAGGCCAATGCACCTTTGAGGATATTCAACGTGCAAAGACAATGGTGCCGAAATCATTTCAACGATATATTGAACGTATGTAACACAAGAAAAAAGAATCATTTTGAAAGTTTGTGCAATAGAAAAAAAATGCTGACTTAAATTTTTCGTTTCCCTTTTTCTCGTTCAAGTGTATGGCAAGGGCAAAGACGATTCAAATGAATGGGAAAATACGTTCAATTCAATGGAAGACGCAATCAAATCCGAACCATACGACACAATGTACGATGATGATGAAAACTATTCGGAAAATAGTAATTTGGATTAAAAAAGAGATCATTGTTTTGTTTGTTCGAATCACACGTCCGGAAGATTTTGTTTTAATTTTAGCAAATGCGATTATATCCTAATAACATGTGAACGAAAAACGAAAGCGAGAATAAGAAAAAGAATTGAAATCAGACATTTAAGGAATAAACAAGCAAAAAACAAAATGCAGTCGAATTGCATTCAGTGTGTCATGTTTATAGTGAGTAAGAAGTGAAGAGCGGAAAAACAAAACGAAAGCAACATTGATTCTAGTGTGAAATAGAGAAAAAAACACTTCAATAAACCAAGAGAGAATAAAAAAAATTAGCTTGTAAGCATTGCATTATGTTTTAAGTGAATTAAAAGTAATAAGCGAGTAATGTGTTTTCTTTTCTTCTTCGTCTTTGATGCGAGATAGAGACTAAAACAAGCAACACAAAACCATTAGAACAATCAAATCGATTTATATATATAGAGAGAGAAACTGAATCCATAAAATGAAAATGGATTTTCCTTTGTTTTTAAGTGTGCAGACAAATGACGATAAGACAATCGAAATCAAATCGAACTTTCTGCAAATACTTTGTTTGTGTTACAATCTTCTTTTTTTTAACAAATATTATTTCTAATCAAACGAACACATGCACACGTTCGATACGATGTTAACAACAAAAGCAGCAGCAACATTGAAGAAAGCCATTTAGATCGTTTTCCAACTAAGAGATGTGTCCACACAAACCATACACACACTGTATGCTAATTAAGTCATTTTACTTCCTAAATTAGTAATAAAAATGGTTGAGCGAAATCTATCGGTTTCTAAATCCAAATGCAAAAGAGAAAGAGAGAGTGAGAAAATACAAATGTCAATGAAAATATCATCAAACCCTCCGTTTGGCCGTTACGGCGACAAATGACGAAGGAGAAAAACAAGAAATCGCGACGATAAAAACGCACAATTTTCTAATGGCTGTCAACATAGATCAAAGAAACTGTTTCTCTTTTTATTTGTCTTCTGTTTAAATGAATGAAACAATTGAACAACATTTTTTCGAGCAGGGAATATTATTAATTTTCCATATATTGTTTTCGTTATGGCAAAACACAAATCAATGTGTTTCAATGTATTGATGACTGACGAGGAAAGTTCTAAAGCTCAGGCTGAACATGTTTTACAGAAAAATGAAAAAAAGCACTTTGAACGATTGTCCAAATGAGAAATATAAAATAAAGTGCCTGTTTCATAGCGCAAAAAATCACTTTCCACGTCATAATACATAGCCCGGGTATGTGAGAATGATTCCCTATTTATAAGATGGCGATGGGCGCAGACGAATACAAACAAAACAAAAATGTACGTACTGAAGACAGTCGATATAGCACCTTTCGTTTGAATTCATTTACACCTAACTAGGTAAACAAAAAGAATGGAGATATTTTCATGAAGTCATTGCTCTTTCATTACATTTATGCCTATTTGATGTTTCGCTTTTTTCCAAATCCTTGAAATATAAAAAAAATGAAAATAAAAGAAAAATTCTTGTATAAAAATTTCGAGTATTTTTTTTATGTGTTTGTTCTTTTGAAATTTGTTGACGAGCCGACAGATTTAATCTTGAAAATTAGACGGTGTTCAAGGTTCTCAAGGTTTTATTAATATTATTTGTTTGTTTGTTTTTTCTTCTTTTAAATCTGTTGATATACATTTTCGTTTGTTGACATCGTTGACATTTTTTTTTTGCATTATTGTAAAGAAGATTTAAATAAATAAGATGAAATATGTAAAAATGTTGCAAATAACAATTGATTTTTTTCATATTAATTTCTTTTTCTTGTCAAACATATAATTATATCAGATTTTATCTGAATAAGGATTTAAATAAGAAGGAAATTTCATGGTCACTCAAGTAAATCAATAGGTCAGATTAGATATAAGTATGAAGTCATTCAGAAGACAGTGATGCACTGATTTTCTTATTTTGATTTCATAGATATTTTTAAAATAATGACATACACTTCATAATGACATCTTTTTTATTACAATTTAGCGTTAGATGAACGATGAATAAGAGTTTGAAGATGACTATCGAATCAAATAAAATGTTATTTTAGAATAAAAACCAAATGACATTTTTTGAATTTATTTAATCATTTTAGATTTTGACATTTTGTGTTTTAAAAAAAGAGTTGATTCAATGATGGAATTTATTTTGTTTTATCACGGAAAATAATCAAGGTAAGAGACGTCTGTTCTTTGGGAATTTCAACAAATGATTCCTTAAAAGAAAACAGTTTAAAAAAAACATTATTTAATTTATTCGAATTTTTTCGTTCACTTTTTTACCTAATTCACAAAATTGAAAGCAAATAATTTTTTGAAAATTAAAAAATCACTTTGATGTTATGACATTTAGCTAGATGCTGAAGTTTCTTCTTCTTCATCACACAAATCCTCGAAATCTGTTTTATAATATAAACAATTTGAATATAAATTTCTCTTGAACCAAACATACGCTTAGTCAAACATGTAAATTTAAATGCTTATTTTACCATTGAAGAAATCAGCATGGACGTCTTTCTCATTTGCAGCCAAATCCATGAGTAGTCCACTTGAACCACCAGCCTATTAAGATCGAGTGTTTTATGTTTGACATTAGAATTTGTGTCCATACATTTTATATATGTAAATAAATCCATAATTACCTCATCCAATTCCATGAATGGTCCACCGTGTTCGGGGAACATTTCATCAGCAACAATTGTTGGTTTCATTTTATTTTTTGCTTAATAAAATTTTTTTGCTTTAAGTAATTTTTAATAAAAAATAAATTGATGTGATCTTTTGTTCGATTGTTATTTCACAAGGAAAACGCGTTTTGAATCCTTGAACCTGACTTCACTTGACTGTGCGAAGAAGTAATTTGTGCATAGAAAATGAAAATGAATCTACGATTCGATATGAGCTCAATTGTTCGATTTACTACTTTGACATTTGATGTCAACAAAATCATGCAACATTTTTTTTCAGTCACGATTGTTTCACGTTCTCGCGCCAATTTCAAATGTCAAAACATTCAATATGCCTGTTTTGGAGTACCGTAAAAGAATGCCAAAAAATGTGGTAAAGAGTCGTCTTAAATTTTGATTTAATTCGTTTTTAAAATCAATCGAATGTGAAATTTTCGATTATTTTATTTCGATAGTAATAATTTTACACTTGCATTGACGAAATATGCAAAATAAAATGCAACTGAAATTCAAAGCTATCAGCTTGTTTTCGGACACGTTGACTTGAAAGCTCGTGTTGTCATCATGGAACAGCCACTGCAGGCGCTGTCGTCGGTCAGCAGATTTTTTACAAATTTGTTTATGAAAGAAAAAAAGGAACGAATTTTTTTCTCATTAATGTTGATTTAATTTTCATTTTATTTCCCATCGGGGTGCCTTTTTTCTGGTTATTTTCTATATAACAAAAAAGAAAAATGCATGAAAATAGAGTTTGATGTGATGTTTTATGCCATCTGCATAACTGTAGTTGAAATGAGAAAAGAGCTGTCAATGACAAAAATATTGGTGAATATTTGCGTTTTATTCTTCATAAAGAAAATAGAATCCAATACACATTCATCATCAAACGCACGCTCATTTAGTATCTATATGTATACACATGTAGTTTTATTGTATGGAACAGTTGTACAAACACACGCACATACACTCATGTGCACACATACATAAAAAAATGCACAATTCATGCGAACAAGCCTTTAACACACAACTCGCTCACACTGTGTTGAACACAAGCAGTAAAAATATATGAGAGAAAAATAGATAGATTTTTTTCCGTCTTTCTTTCGCTCGTCACATTCATGCAGACGCAAATAAATATACACACCACCGAGTGAGCGAGAAGTAGAAGAAGAAAAAGAAGAGTAGAAGAGAAAGAAAAAGAAGAAGAAGAAGAAAAAAAAAGAATTGTGCAAAATGTCGTAAACTTCTAAATGGTACCAAAATCGAATATCCCAGCGAAAAGCGAAGCAAACAATCAAGAAAGAGACAAATGCAATACAGTGAATCGAAAAAAAATGTGTTTTTTATATGCTTGCACACTTTAAAAATGTGAAGCCAACAAAGAAAAAAAAAACAAACTTAAAAGAAAATTGTAAATGTAAATTTAGTTTTTGATTACAAGAAAAAGAAGAAGAAGAAAATGTAATATGTATTGTGTATACTTTGGTTGAAGTGCGAACTAAAAGTGCTTGCTTTTGATGTGAAACTTGCTGTTGATGTTGAAAAATTAAAGGATTCCATTTTTTTAGTCGTCGTACGACGTTAAATGTTCGGTTTGATAATATATGCGGTTTATTTGGTTTATTTTTTTTGAAATATCGAACATGTCATTTTAAAAAAGAAATAGAAATAAAACGGAAAAGAGAGTAAAAAAAGAAGATAAATTCAAGTGTAATGTCTGTATATCAAATGTTTTGATTGTGAATACGTTGAATTCGACAGAATTTACAATTTTATTATTCGGAACAACAACAGTACCAGCATTTAAAATACACACACGCACGAATATTTGTATAAATATTAAAAGATAGAGAATTGCATTTCAGTTTCATGTTAATATGAAAAGCAAAGGAACAAAAACAACAACAGAAAAAACCACAACTTTCGCAAAAGCAACAAATACAACAATTTGGAATTTATATTCACGAGTGTGAAGTTTAAGGTGCAGTTGGTGTTTGATTCAATGTTAGTTACAATTTTAATTTTAATCAAAACCACAAATTTATAAATATCATTTTGTCGTGATTTTTTCGCTTTATTATTGGAATGGAAAAAGTGTCAAAAAAATGGCATACAAACGATGCACATGTGTCGAAAATGTTTCTTTGTTTTGGATATTCATTTTGGCATTTGTGTTTGTAATGTGTATGAACGAAGACAAAAAAATAAATAAATGGCAACAAAATGACGTCGAAATTCGGTCTAATGAATGAAGGTGTCATTGGTGCAATACACGGATGTTTTGAACTATTGTTCTGATTTTTTTTAGTTTTTGTTAAAGTGTTTGCTTTAGATGAGATTCGCCACTCTAAAGCAAAGAAAAATTTATATATTGAAATGTCGGCATTTTATAATTCAAGTTTGAATATGATGTATGCATAAAATTAACTCATGTACCAAATTGATTGGCCTTGAATTCTATTTTATTACATGTGTTAAATGTACGGTCTTTCACCAACAGTCGCGTATACAATCGCGAGAGGAAAGAAGCAAAGCCATTCAATAAATAATAAATGGGTTCATTCGCGGCAACGACCAAAAGAAATGGAAAGTTTTTTTTTCCTTCTACATCGGTTATTTTGTCTTCGTTCAACCACTCTCAGACTCTCTTCGCGATATAATCGAAATGAAAAAAAAAATCACAAAAAAAATCAACACACATAATACGTCTTTTGCTTTGCATTTGGTGCCCATGCCACACACGTATAGTTACAAATACACGCATACACTTATATATTGAGAAAGAGACCCAAACAAACACACATTTGATGTTTGGTCAGTGGACACAAAAATAAATGAATGCATTTGAAATTCAGCTCGAACAACAACGAAAACTTAGAGAGAAACGAGTGCATAGTGAAAACGGAAACAAATCAAATATGTAAATGCTTTGTCAAGAGATAGAAATGAGAAAAAAAATACAATTCAAAATTGCGATACATCCTTGTAATAAAATGAGATATTTTGAACAAAAAACGAACGACATGCTATTTTAATCATAGTAGTTGCGATGACCACCTAGTTCAGGATGGCCATTTTAAAGAAGTAATAACGATTGTTCAAATAAGCCACTTTTACGTCCGACACTGTATGTGTATGTATGTATGTGACACAAAGAAGATAGATGAAGTACTTTTTTGAAACAATTTCACCGGTTCATTTTGTATAATATTTTTTTTATTGCTTGCAAATATTTTGTTCTCTGTGTTTCACTTTCGCGAATGCACAATACACACCGATGACCCAACGCACTTGAATGCAATGCATTCTGTGTGAATGTATGTGTGTGTGTGTGTATGCAAGCAAAACTTTTGGTCTGTTTATTTATCATTATTCTTCATGTATTGTTCCTCTTTCGCGCTTTGCCTCTCTTTGTTTCGGCAATTCAATTAACAATACTGAACGCAGCAAGCAATTTATTTTATGGAATTTGGTTCAATAATGCAACGTCTCATGAGAATAAATTTAATATATAGCTTCAATTGAAATGGTGCTATGTGCTCAATCGATAATGACAACTTAATTCCAACAAATAATATGAAACGTTTTTCAATTTCAGTCCACAAGGAAATTATAAACACTTGAATTCTGTAATGAAAATGAAGCAAGCAAAACTAATATTTATTAAACTTTGTGTATTAGGTTTTATATTTAAACTGGAAAGTTTTAATTAAACGAAACCGGTGCAGAAATGATATCGATCAAAATATGTCAATTTTTCAACACAATAACATTTTATAGATACAATGCTATGGCTTCTTCAATTTAATATTTATTTGATTTGTGAATTATTTATCATTTGATGGTTTTTTTTCTTTAAATATAAACAGATAAACAATTTTAAATGAGCAACGTATTATAATAATTATCGTTACATTTCAATGCGATTGAATCAGTTTGAACGTAAATCATTTTTAATCAAATGAAATAAATAAAATCGGTTTAAAAAAAGAGGGCGGAATTATGATGCAATTCGATTCAAAGTCTGGTATATTGTTATGCTTTTTTTAAAGCAACTAATTGAGAACGAGAAATAGTATAAAATAATGACAATTCACATAGAAATTTATGAAAGTCAATTGTTTCGCATCGAAATAGCAAGGCAGCAATGACTGCCAACGATTTGTAATTTGTGTTCGGTTTAGGAACCTACACACAATTTTTCTGTGTATAATTTATTGAACATTTTACAATTAACGAATGAAATTTACGCCAATTTAAGAAACGAATGCAAGAATCCTTTCTTTATAAACAATGACAGAGAAATGTTAGAATAAATTTCAAATTTACTGTGATTTTTGAATTGGATTTGAGATTTTAAATGAAGAAAAAACTTTCCTTTGGCGAAATTTAATTTAAAAATAAAATAAAAATCATTGCAAAACGCATCGTTGCCAAAATAGCATAAAAATTGAGGACAACTACAAACACACACGTTGTATCCGTGCAGATCATTTTCGACATATGGTTATTTTTCATGTCACTGATTTTATTTGATGAAATAATCGTTTTTAAAAATAAAATTAAATGTAAATTTTTTTGATTTTAGAATTTGGATCGAAACAAAAACAAATCCATCATGGAATGTGATGTGATACCGACCTCACCGCAAGAGGTCGATCCTCTGGGTACGGTTGAACATTGTAATGGATTGGATGACAATTCGCAATCATTAAATGCAACAATGTTACAAAGTGCCGACGATGTGAATACATCGTCCAAAACTAGGAAAATCATAAATATTACACCGACCAAAAGTCGGAAAGTGTTAACAATAAGATCATCGACATCACCTCATGTTTCACATACAACAACTGTTACAGATTCAAATCAATCTTATGGAAGTGTAAGTGTATGATGAATGTCATGTTTTTGTTTCGTCTTCAATTGTATTTTTCATTTTTCATTTTATACAGAGACAACAACAAAAGCTGGCACAAGCCAAAAAAAGTGATGAACACCAGGCGTCAACCATGCGTGAGGTGTTAGCATCAATTCCCGGCTTTAGTATTAAACCGAGACGTCGAACAAATAAGAAAATGTCAACAGCGGCTCAAATTGAGCAAACTCGCGAAGGTTGCATTGATTTAGAAACACCTGACTCGATATTGGTCAGTTTCAATTTACGTGATCTATTGAATAAGGATACATTTAGCGCTCTACCACCGCTTTATCAATATAAATTAGTTCAACTGTTGCCGCGCGTTGACCGTCCGGTGATCGATAACGAAACGGAAACTATAAGACTGAACTCGTCTAGTTTAACAAATGAATTTTTCACGCGTGCATGTTTAGAATGGAAAGAACGTTTAGCCGATGGTGAATTTACACCTGAAAATCAACTAAAATTACGTACCGAAGCCGAAAAGGAGAAAATCAAATTGGATCCATGGAAATTAAAGCATTTTGAACCAATTTGGGGTACAAAAAGTACCAAAACAAAATTAACCAATCGCATTGGCTCGAATCGAAGTGCGAGTGCGGCACATAAAAATCATGCAATGGTCACAACAACAAAAACCACAACAACCACAAATAATACGTCGTCATCGTCATCGTCATCATCGTCGTCGTCGTCGGTGACAGAGACAACGGCTACGGCAAAAGAAACAGTGACAATATTCGATAAGATACCGACCGATGTTAAGCTTAAACGAGTGCCACAGTCACCACCACCAACAACAACAACAACACAATTAACGGTGAAAAATTCAGAGATGAAAAATAATAAAAATGATCTTACACTTCGATCTCGACCGGTAGCCAGCAACTACCAAACAGTCCAACAAACAAGCTCCACAGATAATAAACAAACCAATTCAACGGTTGAACAATCACATTCGGACCGGCCTTCGCTTAAAACAACCATCAGTTTCAAAACGATACGGGAATCACAACAGGTTTGTTTTCAATTATCGTTTGCAAATCAAGAGCGGCTGAAGTTCGTTTCGATACAAAACGATTGATAATGGTTTTGCGTAAATGAAAGAAGCCATTTCTTTTTAAATTGAATTTTGATTTTAATCAAAAACTTGATATTGATGTATAAAAAATTATTTCATTCTATCAACCAGCAATCGCAAGAAATTCCAGTAACGTCGGTGTCGAATAATTATACAACAAGCAGTGGTCGCATAGTTAAAAATCCAAATAACTATCCAATTATTGGTACAAATACTTTACAAGCACAAAAGAGAGTTCGCATTGGTGCTGTAACACGTTCATTAATATCAACATCGACATCAAATTTAAATAATTCGATAAAAGTTAGCGAGAATCATAGTCAAACCAGTGTTAAACCATCGAATTCAATACAAAATTCAGAAAAACTCACAACGGTCAAAGTGATTGGTCCAACGATCATGCCAATTACGACAACAATTAAATCGGAACACTTTACAAAGGTATAGCGAAAGCATTCACTCTTTAACCAATATTAAAGTACAAACAAAAATTGAATAAAAATCAAAATTATCAATCGAATAATAAAATTATCAATTGAATTTTTCAGAATTTGTCAAATTCACTAACATCGGACATGTTATCAACGCGAACAAAAATAATTAAGGATAGTGATGAAAGTACGAGCGATCGAACAATATATAAAATCATAAATAAGCCATTTAATCGTAATGAAAGTGGTTCATTATCGAATTATCCGGACATCGAGATTATACGAAGGGATGAAAATGCCGTTGGAAAATCAATACCACACGATATACCGGCCGATATTGAATTAATTCCAATGTCATCATCATCCGATCATACGTCAACATTTGGTAAACGGTCTGCAACTCGATCATTTAGTCCGGAAAATATTGCTAGTAAATTGACCAAATTAAATGATTACACTGCGCTCGTTTCGAGTAGCAATGAAACGCCGAAAATGTCCAATGCCATCACAATGTCTGCGATCAATTTGACAATGTTACGTGAATCTCAACAGCGAACGCAGGTAACGAGATACATTCACATTTTAAAATAAGACCTCTATTTATGTATACGTTTATGAATTGATCAATGACCATTGAATTTTTAGTTGCAGCAACAGCCTGTTGAAACTAGTATAAGTATACATGCACACACCATGACGAATCCCAAATTCACTAGATCTGATAGAAGTGACAATTTAAAACATTCTATTTCCATCTCAACCATTAAAGCACCTACTATAGATACAAGAATACCAATTGATCCAATGTAAGTACAAATTATCCAGACTCAACAATTTAACGAAACGGACATTTAATTTCAATCAATTGTTTTCGTTCACAGTGAAGAAGACCAAGTTCTGATCACACATACTGATTCAATTGAAGATAGTATGATCGATGGTGTTGAAGAAATTATTGAAGAGAATCCTCGTCATTCGCCGTCTATAATTGTTATTTCGGTAATGGGTGTTCATTTCTTTTTGTTACTTTTGATGATGGTTTTTTTAATCAATTCTTTGTTGTTTTGGTGTATTAAAGGATGATCGAGATGATCCAGATGGACCAATAGAAAAGGATGCTAATGATTTGATTGAAGATCAATCGGATGCCGTCTATGATTATCAATTGGATATCGATTGTAACGAAATGCCAATAACGATTGATGAACTATCGATGGGTGTAAACAATGTTGCCGAATTGGGAATTGATTCTGGTAGTTTTAATGACACGTTTTGCCCAATGTTGTTTCAACACTTATATATTTCATTTTGTTTAGCTGACGATACCGAAAACTTGGATTTGCCTTCAGATGATATAAATCAATGTTTGATTGGAAATCAAATCATTGAAACCACTATAAATGATGATGACAAACAGTCGACATCATCGCCGGAGGTAAATTTCGTATTACACACGATTTGAGTTTAAATAATAAAATTTAAAAATGTATGCCATTTGTATTTTAGCATCATTGGGATTTCGATAATAAAGCTAATATTCTTGATGCTGGTGCCGATGGTAATAGTTTGATGATCGGAAGCAGCATGACTATTTGTGATGAAAGTAGCGGTGAAAATAGTGCCGACACAAATGTTGAAGAGCTTGAGCCAACCATTCAAAGCTTAGATCTTGATGAAAGGTTCAACGATGCACAAAGTTATGTGATTGAATCGGGTGAAATCAGCAGTGATGGTGGAGGTACAGAAGATACATTTGTTTTTGAACAATAATCATTGCTTCAAACGCTTTAAATTATCATTACTTTAATTGGTGTCATTGTATGGTTTTTCAGCATTTGATACTGTTCCTGGAAATGTGCCTGTTACAATGGCGATTGTCAATCCAACGGATACTGAGGTTAGAATTTACATTTTTATATTGACCTATTTTCACAAAAGAACTGATAATTTCCATTTTGAAAACAGGTAATACCGATGCAAGAAATGCTTATTGGAAATGAATGGATTGATCATACGGTAATTTAAAAGATAATTTCATTTCATTGACTGTTTGGATAAGCCACAAATCATTTTATTCGTAGCAAATACAACCAACCGCTGCCGAACTATCGGAACTGCAACAGTCGACATCAGATCAACGACATTCACAGCAAACATATCAAAAGATGCAACAACAACTGATTTCAAAACACAAACCAATGATTCTTACGAATGCACAGCAAGTAAGTGTAACAAAATAAAAACTAGCCCCCGCCGGAAACCATTAAAAATGTTTAAAAATAAAATAGGTGAAATTGGAAATGGATGCATCGATGGCACCCGAAATGGAAGTGTCGAGTACAGTAATTAGCGGTAATTCAAATAATTCCAGCGATAGTGATCATAGTAATGAGATGCCAACAATTGCCACCGTTTCTGCTGTTAGTATGAATTCATCTGTTGCAAATGTGCATCCGAGTAATGATAATCAGTTCGAAGTAAGCAATTATTTGAAAGTTTTCAAAACTGAATTATTAATTTGTTGCCATTGATATATTACAGCATACATTGGTGTGTGTTCCGACAATGGTCATTCCAAATTCGATAATACATCAAACGCAAAGCCAACAATCCGGTTCATCGTTTCAACTTGCATTGGCATCGTCAAGTGGCAATACATTTACCACAATTCGTGATGGTGTTAAAACAACCATTGCCAAACCGGCGACCATTCAACAGCAACAACTGCAACAGAGCCTTAATAAAATGCAAGGCATCGTTTTTAATTGCAATACAATTCCATTGAATCAGTCACAATTGCAAGCAAAACTACAAAGACAATCATCACAATCGAATATAAGCAATACAATAAATCCAATAACACCACGAACAATTCAACGTACGCACAAAATACAACTGACGCAGGCGCCTCCACCGAACATTATCCAACAAGGCGAAAAGTGAGTGATTTTTTTGTATTTTGGAAATAATTTAAATAAGATGAATTCGGTTCGCATTAAAAAAAACCAATTCTTTGATATACAGGGTCCAAACCACTACTCGGTATCAGATACCAATTTCGCAACGACAAATTATAACAGCACACCAGCTACAACAACAACAAATCAAACCACAACAGCAACCACAACAACAACAGCAGCAGCAACAGCAACAGCAACATCAATCAATTCAACAAACAATTGCGAATCTCAATGCACGAGACAATGGATGTAAGTGATGATAATATTATGTTTGCTTGGTAACAATCAATAAAAACCGATATTTTTTTCTTTATTTGCGATGATTAGCAGTGGCGGTAGCAACAGCATCAACATTAACACTGGCTACAACAGCAGCTACGAAAGCTATAGCCACCGCAACTAAACGTGGACGTGGCAGTCGTACAACAAACGATCGACCGCCACCCGGTGCTGTCAATTTAGAACGAAGCTATGAAATATGCCGTGCCGTTATACAAAATAGCCCGAATCGTCATCAATTGAAAGCACAACTACGACCGCCTCCATCGATGCTTGCGAAAAATGTACAAATCACGAGCTCAGCCACCACACAAGGCACCACCGTCACAAAATTCGTTAAGAAAATGCCCGACGAACAAACAGCCGTCAAAACAAATAAAGTTATGTTTAAGGTGAGCCATATCATATCAATATTGAAGTCGAACATTTTAAAATTTCAAGAAAAATATTCACATTACATTTATTATTCAACAATAAATAGACAACAAATGGTCCGCCACGCATTGCATTTCCAAAGAAAACAACATTTATTCAACGTCAGCCATCACCTGTTTTAGTGCGGCATGTGTTTGCCCAGCAAAATCAACAGCAACAACAGGTAACGTTGGATTTTTTTGTATTAGTCTGTATCCAATAAGTATCTCTATCTAATGAATTGTATATCGTTTACAGAAACAACAACAGCAAACCACATATCAGCACATTCTGAACAGCAGTGATAATTCGAATAGTAGCAGTGCAAGCAGTGTTGCAAGTGGAAGCACAAGTTCAGCGCCAAACGGCCAATATATTCTGGTTCAGCGAGCTGGTGTTATTGCTGGCAGTAGTCATTCAGCTCCAAGAGCATCAAGCGCACCACCGGCACAGAATCAAGTAAGTTTTCGTTTCAATTCCAAATATGCTTTCGGTATTTGCTTTTTGTGTGGAATATTTATCGGTGATTAGATTTGAAATTGTGATTCGTTTTAATTAAAACAATTTTTAATTGAATCTGAACTTCAGCAAAAGCAAGGCGATAGTTGGAAAACAGCCAACCGCATGAAAAGGAAGAGTTTTTAATTAAATTCGGTCCTTTGATAAACGGTGCACTTTTTTCCATTGCCTTAATGCATGCATGTTTCATACATCATTCGAATCAACTTTTGCTGACAGTTTAAGTTTGATTCTACTTTATTTCTTGAATGTTCTTACACCTTACCTCTCTGAATTTGTATTCACTTACCTTGAGCTAATACGACTTTTTTCTTCAAAAAAAAATATATCTTACCATTAAAAATGTGAAAGTATCTCTATAACCATAGGTACGAACGTAATCGAAAAAAATTCGAAATTGAAGAAGTGTTAAAAAAAATGATGTAGAAAATAATCAAAAATTTAGATTCTAAGCGGTTGCGTTCGTACTCATGCTAAAAGCACTTTCAAATTTGCATGCCAACATTTACTGTATTTCCCTTTGTTTTGTTTTTTTTTTTTATTTATTTTATCTTGCATCCCTTACGGCCCTCGTATTTATGTGTTGTTATACGTGTTTGCGTAAAATTTACAATTTCCATCCAAATCAATGGTTTGGCTCTGTAACAAAAAAATATCGAAATAATAATGCACATATACAGATTCAAGGTGGAACAAGTGCTATACCAATCAGCATACGCGGGCGACCAGCATCAGTCGACGTTGATCCGCAAAATGTTACTCTTTCGGATGTGCAACAAATAGTCGCTACAAATTCAACAGCAGCCCAAACGATTGCCCACAGAAAAATCACCAATCAGAGTAAATATCCAACAGATCGAAACAAAAACCACACAAATTTCATCCAAACATTCCAATATTCAATCGAATCTCATTTATTTTCAGGTATAATATATAGTGACATAAGAGTTGAGCCGACACTTCAAAATTATGCGTTAAGTGTTGAAAATACACCACCGAATTGTGCTTGTTCGTTAAATGCAATGGTTATATGTCAGCAGTGCGGTGCATTTTGTCATGACGATTGTATTGGTGCATCAAAATTGTGTGTTTCTTGTATAATAAGATGAACAACATTATGTAGCGGGATCAAAATCAAATCATCAAACGATTACACTTGCAGAGTGGTTATTTTGATGTAAATCAACACACACACACATACACACACACAAAACACAAATTGTGAATGAATTTAATGAAAATCCATAGCGATACACTTTTATTTTCAATTGTAATGAAACAAAAAATAATGATCTTTCTTTAATTTTATTTGTAATAATGAATGCCATACACACACGCACACACACACACACATACCTAAACTTACGATCCCGAAGCCATATAACTATGTAAGGTCGCGTATTATGTGCACGCTGTGGTTAAAGATCACATAATACCGCATCAAATCGTTATACCACGATTTGAATCTTTTTTGTTTAAAAATCGAGTGGAATGGAAGAAATGCATTGTAAAAAAAAGAATCGTCTCAAAATTGATGTGAGGTGCGTGTGTTTAAGTGTGGCCCTTAACACGATTGAACAGAATAACAATAAGGAATGAGAGAAAAAGAAAACAAACAGTGATGTTTTTTTAAGGAGAAGTTTGTTTCCATTTCAAATCGAAAGTTTATATTGAATAACTTTTAAATAAATGAACAACAAATAATGATGATGATCGATAAAAAAAAACAAATGTCTTATTTACTGTTATTGAAAAAAAAAGAAAACAATCACACAATTTTTAATGCATATTTATTGTTGTACAAAAAGGAAAAGCAAGAAAAATTATTCGATTATGACGAATTCGTTCGAGTATTTAAAATGAAAATAAAAGAGCATTTGAGAAAAGAAGTAATACTATGAATAAGAATGCATTAAATTGCCCGTTTTTTTGCTAAGTAAAAAATTCAATTGTACAGTTTGCACATAACACACATACACAGATACAGATAAACTGATAACAACTCATATGATTAATGATTGCAGATTTCTCGCTCTGGCATTATAATCTAAAACTAAAACAGATAAATATTTAATTTACAAAGTGAGCGCGTACGCATGCCCCTTGTGTTCTTATTATTTTTTTCTTCATTCATTCAATTTATTTCACATTTTCTGTCTTAAAAAGAAATAGCTTAGTTTTTTTTTTGTGGTCACGATGCAAGTGAACGGAGTTTTCGTTGTGCTCGTTTTCCGGACCATGGCAATGAATATAAAAGGATTATTATTAATGCGATTAGGTCTATACACAACCATACACCACCATATTTTCTACACATTATGAGAAAATCTTCGATTTAAATGCATTCAAGTGTCAGCTTACCTCGCGAAATCGATGATCGATTTGTTGTTATTTATTATTAGTGGTGATGGCATTGCTTGTAATGTGTTTTTGGCATTTGGTGGTTGTAATGTGTGTGTTTTCAAACTAAAGTAATCCATTGTCAAAAGGAAACAAATCTTACCAATGAAGCAAAGAAAAAAAAGAAAGAATAATAATATTGAAACAATTATGTCATTCACCTGTAGATAATTCATACGGAAAACACATACATTTGTGGTTAAAATATTTGCAACCACTTTGTCCAATTTAATCATCATAAAAATGCATTTAACCCATACACCATGACTGTTTTTTGTCTCTCTCCTTCACACCTTCTTTACGAACACAACGGAAAATTTACTCAAGGAATACATTTGTGTACAAAAAAAATATTTTTTATTACATTCTCCCCTCCTATCTCACTCTCATCCCCTTTCTCCTCTTTGCCTCTCTCTGGCTTTGACAAACCAATTTTCATCGTTTCATTTTTCTCACATTTCTTTAATTCTCATCATTCAACAATTCGTTTTAGTTTCTAGATTTAATACACAAGTGAACAAAATAATAAAAAAAAACTATATTCTAATTGAACGATAATGGAAGTGAGAATCTAATTGTATGTATTTTTTTAGATTTATCTAATGTAACATTTCATCATTACAAAACACCCTCGATTTAATTAAATAAAATCAACACAAATCTTAATTTTTGGAGACTGGGATTTCATTTATTCTAACATCATTTTTTACCGCAATTTTGTACAGTTAACGGAACATAATTTCAAGTAATTAATTACATAGATTAATCAAAGAGAAAACTAGTTGAAACAATATGCAACCAATAAATTGTGTTGTGTTTCATTTATATTTTAAAATAGCTGTTAACAGCACCGTCATTTAATACGAAAGCTCTTTTTCGAACTACTACGTCATATTGGCTCCATAGAGATTTCGTACTTTTTGTCCAAAATTGGATTTTTTTTGGATTTTTACTTCAAAAACTCAGATTATGGATGCCGAGACACATCATTTTCAAATCATAACTGGTATCTAATCAACAGAATCAGACCATGTGTTGATAACTCTTACTTTAATTTTGGTGTCATCAAACAAAATCTTGGACACATAATAAATGTGAGTTCGATATTTATTGAAATCAATCGAAAAACACGTGCTTAAGCAAAAGGAATGTTTAATACATACATTACATGTTTTTACGCTTTAGTTGTCTCTATAAAATCAATCTCAAACCAGAATTCTTATAGTACTAAAACACGCATAGGTATAATAAAATTACGTCAGCGGGCAATTTTATGTTGCATTCCGTCGTATAGGTCACATGAAATCCATCGTTTTATGGTAAAGAATGAAAATTCAACGTCATCATCACCGAATTTCAACATTTTGCATTGTTTCAACTTTGTTTTAACTCACACCCATTGTGTAAGTAAAATGGGTTAAAATATGAGCGGGATTTTCTTTAAGCTCATTTCCATAGCTTAGACGCAGGTTATATACTCTTTTTTCGGTCGGAAATTGTGACTAACTGGTGAACGTTGATGAATAAATTCCAGTAAAGCTGCAAAACTTGACAAGCACCAAAATCAATTTCTCATCAGATACGTAAAGTCTCTGACCAAAAAAATACATAAATCCTTCTCAGACATAGATTTATATTCATTCACTTTTTGACCTTAAGTTTTAAAAATCATATGAATGGTTGAGAATAATATAAACTCGCGCCGATGCCGCCTGTTTTAACAGATAGTTGTAAAATGTCTTGGTATGGTTTGAGATTTAGTTGTAATCTCAAATTTTACCAAAACATTACAAATCTATCCTTTTATTTTAGCTGCGAGAAGCATAGATACGAATAAAACAGTTGATGTCGGCGCGAGTCTTTATTATTCTCAAGGATTCGATTTTCCCTTCAAATCGGTGTTGAGGGCGTAATGTTTTTCTTGTTTTCTTTAATTTGTGAATATTGAATAAATCACAGTCATCGAAACATACGATCACCGAAAGGACCATTCTTAACCATCGCATGAATCAAATTAATTATCAAAAAAATGATAAGCAAAAAAAGTATGTTTATAATTGCGAACTTTTATCATTTAGCATGCATAAATTGATTAAAGATTTTCCTTTTCATAAATATTATTAAATTTTTTTCAAACAATCAAATACAATTATGTATTTATCTGTCATTTGCATTCTCTTTCGAAATTGTACCTTACCAGTACTAAGCAGCAACCATTTCTCTCCCATGATTTCGGTAATATGAGCTCGCGTTATGCAAAGCTATTTTTGGATGATGGATAACCGGACGACACACAACAATAAATAAATAAATAAATGTAAGTATACATAAAATACGGTGTACGGAGGAAAGTTATACGGTGGGAGTTTGTTGAATGTAAATAAAAGATTTGGACGGAAATGGTATTTTATTATTCATGCATAAGTGTATTGTTTCAGTGTTCGTGGCACCATTTAGACTCTTTTTATATTTTCCGTAATCAAATAGACGAATTTAAAACCTATTTCTATAAATAATTGATGAAAATTCGCAGAAAATTTCTGTCGCTTGCTTATATAAATGCTTTTATTTTCGTTTGTACTTACTTATTTTTAGTGGAGTGCATTTGGCTGTACGATATGCCAACATACTTACATAACGCAATAAGTTCGAATGCGTACAATAAAAGTGAAAACAAAATATGAAAATCATCACATCCAATTCAGAACCACTAAACCATCCGAAACGAGATATGGATGGAACACAAAAAAATGCTATTAACATAAATTTTTGTGGATGCCGTATAATAAATACTTCTCTTTTTTCTTTTATTCTTCACTCGGGAAAATCGAATCTATCAAAATTCGGGTTCCCATCGAAAGAATATAGATCAATTTGGTTCGTCGTTTGTATCATGTATTCTATCTCATCGAAAAGTGAATGAGACGAAACTTCAATGTGCACTTAAATTTCGCATCCACAGACACGTTTAACTATTATTAAAGCACGATAAAAAATCGACGAAGCAAACTTCCCCCTTATTCTCTACATATTTTTTTGTATTTTGTTTCCATTTTTTTTTCATTCTGCCTGCTCAAATTTCGTTGTTTTACTGTATGCTCGCTAAACGTTGAATGTTGATGGGTTATATTTTCATTCGTTACTCGCACCATTAACGTCAATTTCATCAGCCTTTATAAACTTACCTAACGAAATTATGAACCCAAAAGCGAACTACGATGGAATTTCGGTATTCATTTAGAATTTCCATTTGGGTCGTACAATTTTCTTTTTCCATATCCACTCCAAAAATTTGAATATTGACTTGAAATACATTGGACAATCTGTTCTCAATCTTACGCTGCTTGAAATGGTACAGCATTGTTGTTGTTTCATTTTTTTAATTGTTCGCTTCATTATCTAGGTATGGACAAGTGTTTTGATTGTGCAATTAAATCAAATATCAGTATCATTAAAAAAATATTCAACGCGATACGATGCGCATTTTATAATTAGAAATTGAAACGTGCTGGGTTGGTGAATGTCCCCGGGAAATGGAATTTCGTTTTAACATCTTATTATTTAATTTCATAAACAATGTATTGCGCTCACCAGCTCTTGTCTTTTCTGTTTCGTTTGAAAGCACCGATTCCCGAAAATTAACTTTTCTCCACCCTCGGTTACGACGAATCAACAGTATAAATTTTAATTAAGCAATGTGGATGTTTTGTAGCGCACGAACGCGAATTTGTAGCATAAATTTTCGTTGAAAAATATCGACTATCCGCGTAATAAAAATTAAAAGCAATACACGTCATTTATATGCGATACCAGATATCGGCCTAAATTGATGCGCCAAAGAATACACGCACTGAAACGAGCGACACGTTCAATTAATGATGAAACAATAATTGATTTAACGCAATGTTGTTTATGAATTCACAGCACGTCCTTTCCACAAGCAGATCCAATCGACAGACACTCGAATTTTCATTATGATTCCTTTTGCCATGCTCGGCGCGCTTGTTGTATATAGTGTACATTCAGGACATTCGCGCAAAAACTTCTGTTCGAAAGTTGTTGCGTCAAGTGTAGTATGGCTCATGTTACTTACTTTGAATTACAATGATAGTATTGCGAACGCCAAATTTTATCACATAAAAATAAAGCTTAATTTCATGTAATTGCTGAAATGGGCAATTACAAATCTTCGGTTTAATGAAATAAATCACTGAACGGTTTTCAGTTTCCAGATCGTACTCTTCATCAGAATGCAGCACGGTGTGCGTACAGAAGAAATGTTATCTCTTGTCTTCCCAAGACTGTTAAATAAATAAACATACTGTCGTCATTTACACAGAATCTTTATTTCAAATAAATCGTTTTCGGCTATTTTGTGTCTTAATTTTTCTTTCATAAATACAAATACAACATTATAAGTACATATATAATTTCATTGTTTTTTCATCTAATTATCAATTGTTTATCATTTCTTCAAAATCCATTTGAAATGGAATCTTTTGCTTGCAATTGCCTCATAACCATCTTACGTATCTGTCGATATATTCTTTTAACAAACGAAAAAATAAACTCCTTTAGTATACATTTTTCTTAAAAAAATTATTCTTTTTTTTTTTTGTTTTTGGTTTTATGTCATCTTCTATTTAATGTTCCATTTCATTTCACATACAAAGCCGAATGTAGCACGCGTTATAGCATTGGCTCATACTTGTGCTGATTTGGTATTTTTTAAATAAAGCAGTGGTTAAATAAATAAAATTGAACTATGAAGACTCCTTCCATCTTAAAATGTTCATTTACACATCTTGTTTTCCTGTTGATTTGTTGGAAATATTTATTGTATCAAGTAATCAATGATATAAAAGAAAACAATATTTAAATTCTCTATGCTCTTTATGTAGGAGACCAAAGTTTGGAAACACTATATGCTGGTAATGTTATAATATTCAACCAATATGGAAGACGCCATCTAGGCCATTCCATACATAAGCTAAACTGACAATCGGTATCAAAACTGTTATTGAACTGGTTATCAGTTTGGTTTGAGTATGGAATGGCCTAGGTGGCGCCATATTGGTTGAAAATAAATCAGATCATTTACTTACATTGTAGGAGACATTTAAAAAAGAAAAATTGTGCCATTTAATCACCAAAAAAAAAAAAAAAATTCACCAATATCTTTTTCGCACACTTAAAATTTGCTACAGTTGATACAGAAGATCAACAATTCTCTCAAGAGAACTGAGAACTGAAGATAATGAGAAGTTTTTCGGTGGCATTGCATTCAATCTTCATCTGGAAATTTCGAATGCACTCGTATTTGAAAGTTTTCTCTTCTACAAAAAAAAACTTACAAAAAACTGCGGTTAATTCTTCAATACACACACACAATGGATTCTATGCTTAAGAGACACTTGTACGAGCATATTCAAATTGCGTTCTCTCTTATCGCGGTCTATACAAATTGCAGATTTTCTTTCCATCTTTTCACAATTTTATCCACACAATGCATTTATAAACTGGAAAAAATTGATGACTGACCAAGTTTGTTTACTGGAAACTGTTTTTACGTGGCGTCTCCACTCCCTTTCGATTCCAATAAGAAAGTTTAATTGCATTGTTTTTTAGGAGAAACACTTTTTAATCCAGAATTAAATGAAGAGAGAATAATCCATGGCTTTTTTGTCTTACATTCAACGATGGTTGAAAATCAATACTTTACATTACGGAATTGAATAGGGTATCTTAGATGGATAGTCAATTTCCGGCTGATGTATGGACAGTATACATCAGTGTTCACAGTCCCGATGAATGCCTGTCTTCTAACTCTGGTCGGTTTCGGGATAAGAATGAAGATAATTGAGTGGGATTCAAAACCATTTTCGATGATATTCGAATGTTTTTCCAACAAAAAAAAGTATTAGTCTTGGTTATCGATACACCGAATACTCTCCCAAAACACACCATTCCGGAATTGGATATCGTTTTGCCGCTTACTGCTTTTTGGCGCGTATTCATAGTATATAACCTGGCAATTATTAGTTTTAAAGCTATAACAATGTTATGCAAAAAATAATCCGGTGAATGGACCCTTTTTGAATTTATGCAAAAAATAAACAGAGAGAATAAAAAAAACAAGTATGTATTGTAACATTTTATCGAAAATTCCTTGCATATCTTGGCATGGATGTATTTTCCATTTAAAATAATTCGATTCTCGACTTCGATTTTTCCAGTTTTCGATTTCATCTGTGTTCTGCCACAAAAAAAAATACATTTTCTTTAAAAGCAAAAGCCACTTCTGTCTTTAAAGCATATAAAAGAGATCAAATCAACTTTACAAAATTCATACAAAACTGAAATTTATTAATACACAACACAGCACCAGTCAGCCACACAAAAACTATATGATATGGTGCAAAACCGGAGTAACTGTTTTGATTTTATGTCATTAAAATTTGATTTTTCTTTTATATTTAAATAAAGAAAGTATTTTTGTCTCTCTTGTCTTTCTTATATAACATATGAATCGTTGCGGCGAAAGAGTAGCTCTTATTTTTCTCCAAATAATACTGCAACATAAAGTTTTTTATGAATAGTTTATTTGTTGTATTACAACAAATAAACCGTGTGAAAAAAACTTCATGTTGCAGTATTATTTGGAGAAAAATAAGAGCTACTGTTTCGCCGCAACGATTCATATGTTGCATAACGTATTTAGCATTACATGGCAGTGCTCTAACGTTATCAATGCAAAAGAAACCACTGGCACTTGATTCATGGTTCGATATAGCGATGAATGTTTCACTATCCAAAATGATGAATTTTTCAGTGCAACATGCTATAAGGTGAAGTAAACACCCAATTTTTGACACCCTTTGGAATTTTTCGTAACGTGTCGTAAATCTATTGTTTTGGTTCAAAAATGACTATTTGCTTGACCAACCCGGTTTTTGGCACTTGGTGACAGTTTTGAAAGGTCTGAGCGCTCAGATTGGGAATAAGACCGGACTTTTTGTTTTTTGTAGAATCTTTACATTCATATTAAATCCACAAAACGCGATACATGGTTCGAAGAGATTGGTTCATCTTTAGACATGTGCAGAATTTGTTTTGAACTTAGCTCGCCAAAACCATTTGAGACAATTTTTCGTAAATCCAATTTGTACACCATTGCGAATGGATGTATTTCGTCGAATTAAGTTTGATAGTAGAGTAGGAGTGCCTTTAAGTCTCCTGTGTGCATTGGTTAACACTTTTGATTTTGTTTATGTAGCGCAATAATCGCCTGAATTTACTCTCAAAACTTATGCAGCATATGTTAGTTGGCTTATACAATATTGATGCGTAAAATTTGTTGTGGTTGCAATTTTCTTTAATTAAATAAATGAACGGTTTCTGTTGGTTTTGAAGTGTTTTTCTTTCGTTCTACATCGGAAGCTTGACGCTTTATATAAAAATTTGAAATGAAAATGCAGTGAATATTTTCGGTGATATGTATTTTGTTTGTAACCTACATTCAACTTAAAAACCTCTGAAAATAACAAAATGAATTGAGCATATTAAATTTGATGGAAGGTGCTGTGTTATAACTACCACATTCTATCATTATAAAGATGAAAAAAAGAAGTCAAATAACTGAAATGTGAAATGCTGTCAGAAAAATGAATTATAATTGTATAAACTATTTTGCTAACCCCTCTGTTTTTTTTATCGACCATTTGTTACTTGAATTGTTCTCAAGATACATTGGCTCATTCCAAAAATAATATAACCCATACATGCATTCTCGTATCGAAAATACGAAAAATTGAGTGTGTGCTTCGCCGCAAATGTGAAGCTTCAAATTAACATCGTTTGTATTTCACCCCAGAGAACATAATTGACTGTTTTGAAAATTGAAGTGGAATTACAAAATCGTATAGATGGTTCCAATGTGAGTGTGCATGAACCATGTATTGATGCCATTCCAGTTAAATCGAAACCAAAATCGCACCCACACGCATACGTATTTTTTGAGCGAAAAAATTGGTTCATTTCAAAAGCAAAATATATGAATAACCGAGCGATTTTGGAAAAAGCGTTTTTGTTTTGTGACAAAATCATCGACTGCCTGAATTTGCTACGCGTCTGAATCTTTGTAAAAGTGTTAAATTTATTTATACTTAAATACATATACATTTTTGTTTTTAGCTTAGTCAAGTGTTTTATTCACTTTCGTTTTACCTTTTGTCTTCCTTTTGTGGTTTGTTTTGTTAGTGGTACTGTTTGCTGGATATGATCAGCTGTGAGATGGTTCACTGTTGAAAATGTTTATTGGCAGTTTAGCATAGTCAAATGAATCCAGAGTTCACGTTGAAAATATTTATTAAGCGAACATATTAAATACGTTCGATTCATTTGTCACACAGATGAAATGGAATTGCTATCGTAAGCAACCAGTAACGAATCATTTTCGGATATAGACTTTTTGTCGAAGCAAATTTCCTCTTCGTCGAATGACAGTTCATCATCGTCGTCATCATCGTCTCCATCGAATTCAAATTCATTCACATGAATGATGACATGCTTATTCCTATCATTGTCCATGGCTAATATGGTTGTGTTTGGATGAATGGTGTTTGTTTCATTTGTTGCTGATGTTGTTGGTGCTATTGACGATGGGCCAGCAGTTTCTTCGTCTTCTTCTTGAATGGGCATTGATCTTGGTATAGCTTGATAATGATACTTCTTCCATTTTGAGCGTGTACGGAAATTATTATCATTTTCACTAACTCTATCTAAACGGGTTGCAACATTTCGACGCGATAGCCGCCCATTCATTTGACTTTTTGGTGCATAATTTGCAAAACTGCTTTCACAATCACCACCACCACCTCCACCACTACCATCGCCATTGTCGTCCGTCATCGTCTCATCATAATCATCGTCCTCTTCACTGTATGTCGTTTGATCGCTACCCTCATCCATTCCATAGTAGTAGTTTTCAAAATTCGTTTGCTGAGAACTTCGTCGTCGTCGGCTAAATCCACAAAATATGTGCTCGGTTGAATGACGATTTAATGATAAATCATTTGACTCTTCCACAGAGTCACTCTGATTATATCAAAGTTCGATCACTTCAGGACCTTTCCATGTAAAACCGGCCCGTACACTGTGATAGAAACGTAACACGCCCCATACGGCAATTACCTATACCAATTTCATCCAAAAGAGAGGAAGAAACAAGAGAAAACCGAAAATTGAATTGAATTTGAGCAATAATAAAAGACACAGTTTAAATGGAATTATAAAAGATGAAGCAATTATCTAAATTTAGCATTGCAATTATCGTGTATGCAAAGCGAGAGGAAGAGTAATTCATATAGTCTATCATGAGTTTTGGCTACCTTTCCAAAGCGATGCATTGTGTATAGAAAATAGACATAAAATTGATGCGAATTGGGTTTCATCAAAACGATGAATAAATTTCCCCTTTTTCGCTTCGGAATACATCGGTGAACAGAAGCGCAAACGAAATTTACATCATAATGACGTAGCAAGCGATTTTTAATATCAACATTTTGCTGCATATTTTGTACGACACTTTTTTTTACCCACTCATAACGGGAAATTCACCAGCAAAAATCCATCAAAATACTTGACTTTTTGCTGGCAAAAAAAAATAAACATCAATTTAAAACAGCCAGAACGGAAATAAGAGTAAAATTTTCGTTAACGCCCAGTCTCTCGGGCTCTTCATTAAGATTCCGTGTTAAACATCTGTTGCAATAGAATTTTTGAATTTCGGTATGATACTCAGTAAATTACACCAGTATGCTAATAATAATGAAAGGCAAAAGGTGAACGTATAAAAATCTTGCTGTTTGCACGCTTCTCACCTTTCCGTTCAACAAAACGCGCTTCCCTCATGGAATTTGATGTAAACCTTTCCGTTCACAACAAAAAAAGAACTTCAATCAAAAATGCCACAATAAACTTAATTTATCATTTCATTTTTACATAATTTATTTATTTATTTATTTCCTCATCCACACATTTAGAAGAGGAGACGTACGCTTGGAAAAACTAATACATTTTGTTTCGTGACGCTTTTAGTGCTCGGTTTTTTTTTATCATGCTTCAACAAATCTCCGCAAAAATCTTGAGAGAGAGAGAGAGCGAGAAAAAAAGCACATTTAACAGGTGCTACTTTACGCAGAAAAAAAAATATGCTTTAATTTTTATTTTGACATGCTCTCCACTTTCCATAGAATACTCTGTGCTTGGTGGTAACGGATAATTGAACACACAATATTTACATAAAAAAAACTTATACGTTTTTTTATATACGTATAAATAAAAACCTCAGTGCTCCATTGAGAGCGAGAGTTTACGTTGAATTTAATTTTATTTTGCAAAAAAAATGTCCTATGCTCATAGGTACTTTGAACCATAGCCATATTTCCACGCGGAAATGAGCTGAAAGCTACATATCTTCTACAAAAACACACATCGTCCAAAACCATGAGCTTGTGAAAATTGGTTTGTTTGCTCATTCTCTCTCTCTCTTTTTCCATATATTCATTGTGGATTTTAAATAGCGAGATAATACTCAGGTAGAAAATGTTTGCGATTTTTTTTAATTACATCCCATTACATAGCAACATATAGTTGATGAACGGGAATTCTATCTCTCTCTCTTGCCCTGCCTGTGTCTGTCTGATGACGGTCTCTTATTGAATTGGAAACAGCCTTAGTGTGTAACGTGAAGGATTTTACGTGAACTACCCAGGTGTCGAAAGGTGAAAGCAATTGTGTTACCTAAATGGTCATCCTTTAAGCATTTCGAATAAAAAGAACCAAAAGCCCGTCGCGTATATATAACGAATTGCAATTGTTTTTCTTGGCGGTTTCATGCAATTATTCATGTGGCGTCAGCACATTTTTGGTTAAATGGATCAGAAACGGTATATATGGGCTTCAACTCAAGCGGTACCAATGGCTCAGCCAAAAATGTTGCTCAATTATTTGTGGGCGGTATGAGCGCCACAAAGAAAGACGAATGTTGGAATTAAGTGCGCGGTTTTAAGGAACCACTTCGAAATATAAATTTAAATCAAATTACGGTACTGAATCAAATTGTCTATCGAAATGACAATGTAAACTTGAAAATGCTTTTGAAAATCGTTCAAATAAATCAACAAAATGTACTCTCAGACACTGAGAACTGTGCCGCCAATAGACAGAGAGATTATGTAAGAAAACACACGGCAGAGTGGCAGAACGAAAAAAAACAACAACAACAAACCAGATTAGATTACAGTCTTATCAACGTGTGAAATCGCATTGTCGAAGATTTAATTGGAGAAAGCGTGCTGAAGCATATCAACGCTCTTATAGTTTGAAGCACACTTTTGTTTTAACATTGCGTCTATCATTCGACGATTTAATTCACAAAACATACTTCATCTCCTCTTATCGTACACAACATAATGTCTATATAAAACACACTGAGACAACGCGTCAGTCATGCTTCTGCTTTCTTTATCTTTCTCTCTCTTCCGCACTGTTCGATGAATAATAACATTCAAAGAACAGAACAACAACTTAAAACCAGCGACTTAACCAACAGCACGAGATTGGCTGGGTGGCTGACTGGTTGGGCATAAAATGTGAATGCAATTCATTTCTTTTGATTTGTTAGAAACCAATCTAATAACTGTTTCTAATTAAGTTTGGTTAAATTTACTTCTTTCCCGTCGTATGTCATTCAATGTAAAACTCTCTCTCTCTCTCTCTATCTCTCACTTCCCATTCGCCTGCATACGTATATGAATAAAATAATTCACAAGCTATTCATGGCGCAAAAATATTTTTCGCAAAATGAATGCAAACAACTTTAACTAGAAACTTTGTCAACTTGTCACTTACATTAATAAAAGCTCTCGTGATGAAAAGTGCCACTTCCGCTTTACAAACTGCGTCAAATTGCTGAAAATGAATGAGACAAAAAGAGAGAGAAAATAATGATTAGAATAATACCAAGATGATGGGGTGAAACATTGAGAAAATATATTAACATATGATGAAGAAATATAAATGAATTCTGTTGATTATTCTATTGGCTAATGATGACGGTAATTGGTGCTATGAATAAATACGTATATATGGATGTTGGTTTTGCATATAAAAAAATAAAAAAAACGGCAAACATGTGACATTGAGATTGTGCCATGCACTTTGACCGTTGATGCAGAAAATGTGAACGACAACAAGGACAGTATTTATAACTATCTCACAACAGGGAATAGAGAAAACTGAAAACGATATAACCATGTCGTGTAAACGTTTTATTCAAGATAGTTTTCAATTAGAATTTATGAGACGATATCACCAGACACAACTTCATTACTATTCCACAACACATCAACATTTGAATGATATGGTTATTTTAAAATTGGCTCAATCTTTTTACCCCCTGAAATTAAAGTTTCAACTTTCAACTTTAATTGGCTGTATGATCGTTCAATTGAATAATTGATGAGAGAGAAAGAGATTAAGTAAATGCTACTGATTGCAATGCTGTTTGTGATGTGTGAGCTTTTTAATGAGTTCAACAATATAGTTATAGAAAATGTCCTATTGCTCATACGGCATTATTCACTTCAAGTGTGTGATGCGCCGTACATATAAACAGCTCAACATTTTTCCGGTTATATCATTGCAATTTTACGCATCAAAGAGAAAAGCATATTAAAATCGATCCAATCAATGCATTTCGATATAAAATTGGCATGCGGATGTTAATATTGAGTGATACATGGGTGAATCACAAATAAAATAATCGGTCAACGGTGAATTATTTAAATGGCATTGAGGTGATGATATTTTATAGTTATTATACACTGGGTCGGTGCAGGTGTGTGTGTGTGAGAGAGACAGATAGAGATAAAGTGTGTTTGTGATGTGCACATATTTGTTCGTTCTTTTGCTGCTGCAATTTTCCATTTGGTGATCATTTTCCGCCGAGTGGCGAAGTAAAATCATTATTTTGGACTATAATTACACCACGGCCATTGTAAGTAAGCGTGCGATAGGAAGCAATTTCACTCGTTTGAAATACGATTAATAAGCAGTTCAATGCATAAATAGGTCAGTGAATAATCTATTTTAATTATGTAAACTGTGTTTGTTGTCCTTTTTGCATAACCGCTAACGATGCGAAGGCGTTAATTCGTCTATTAGAATCCACTTACGCAATGATATCGCATACGCATAAATATCGTATTTTTCTAAGCCACAAAATAAACCTACCAACCGAATTTCTGCGCCCGAAACTGAAAATTCGACGGAATCGGAATCGATTAGAAGCAATTTATCGTGCATTTCATTTTAAAAATGCACAAACCGGATTAAAAGAGTTGATTGGTGCGACAGAGAAGAAAATTATATAAAATATACATATTTTCGATATTGACACGACGATGACATCCCGATATCCAATGGCAACCATCTTTTACAAATACACCGATATTCAATGGGTAATTTGTGTTAAATCAACACGATACCGATTTAATTATCAGATGGATAAATTAAATTAAGCCTGCAAATGACTATTATCTCTGATTAAGATGACATTATCAATATTTCAATCAATTTGAATCAAATGTCGATTTTTTGAAGTTCATCAAGTTTGGTTGAAGTGAACCAAGTTTTACATTTATGAATTTTGATCTGCTTTTGAAGATCCGGGTTTGATGGCCATTCAATTACAATGTTTATTTATAGAAGTCACATGGCGTAGAGTTAAACAAACCATTATTTTTTTTATCAATTTAACTCTCTCGCGTCTCTCTTTCGCTGTTGTTTGCATGCTCTTGTCTGTGCCAATAATGTTGTTGTGGCAACATAACCATAAATTTGGTTGCGAAAAATGATTATACGTTGATTTAAAATCGTGCAGCGAATTTGATTTAATAAATACATGCGATTACTCTTTCTTTCCATTTATAAATTTTATATATGATTTCTTCATCCTTGATTAAGCCGCTTTCACTTTACAACTCCATTGTTACTTGTGGTTTTTGGTTTCAAAACAGCATAGCATCAACCGCCATTTACGATATATACACGCCATATTTCAAAACCATATTTTGAACAAACGAGAAAACAGTCGAGGCTGTCAACGATCTCTCTAGTTAAATATTTCTTCAACATATGATGGATGGATAGATGAAAAATGTACATGCGAAGAATTTTTTTTTATTAATACTTACGCGATTAACATGATCCCTGAGCACGTTGGAATAAACCATTGCTACAGCTTCTAAGGCCATAAAAGTTATAAAACCAATTACCCAAAGTACAACAAAAGCGCAATTTTCCTGTATCGAGAAAAAAAACAGAGAGAGAGAGAGAAAAAAATAACAACGAATAGAATATAATATGTATAAAAGTGATATTGATAATAATAGTTAGTGAAAAGTGTGTGACTGATTAGTATTGTGACATGTATCGGCACATTTATAGATAAGCACATCGTACACACGACTGAACATGGTCTTGCCACGTGTCTTGTGTTGGCATTTTGCAAATATAAAACTGATGAGCACAGAAATGTTAAACATAAAATTTGTATTGTCTATAAAGTTTTCGATATAAAAGTGAGATCAAAAATGAGAAGTGAACAATTGAAATCTTGCTCAACTTTTTGGCAAATTTTCTACGTTTTCTGTTCATTCATGGTTGAAAATTCAAAGTTCATTAAATTTTCATTAGCTTCTTTAAAATTTAACTCAATTCGCTGGCATGAATTCAGCTGCTCCGTGGAAAATCTATTTTTTTCCTTAACAACACAAAGAACGACAGAAGAGAAGAAGACACAAAACTTGAATGTGATTTCATCAAATGAGCCACGCACATTCGAAAGGGAATGTGAAAGAACAAAAAAGATATTGCAGAAATTTGATAAGATATAAAGCATCTTGCCAGCAATTTGGCCATATATCATCATCATCATCTTGATTCTTCTTCCTAGATATATATCTTTTGCGATATATTTCGCCAACGCGAAATAACAGAACAAAACCAAACACAAAAGACTACAACGAACGCGAAAAAAAAATAATAATACCGAAACATTTTTATGATAACTCGAAATTCTTGTTGAATTTTTTTTCGCTTTTTTTTCTTTCGAATATTTATTAGATAAGCTGCTTGTTGGCTTTAAGATAACGTAACGCAACCGACCACCATATTTGCGCCGCTCTGTGTGACGCTTGATGACGACATCAAAGATATCACAGCAAATGCTGTGGCAAAATTTTACAAAAGCTCAAAATAATTTTTTAAAAATATATAACAGGAACGATAGAGACATGTATATGGTTCGTTTGAAAGTGCCAAAGGAACAAAAATAATGGCAAGATGTTATTGTGTTTCGTTTGCAAATTTCAAACGAATGAACAACGCAAGCAAATGAACGAAAGAAAAAAGTGCAGAATGACGAAAGAAGAAACAAACAGAAAAAACGATCGCGAAAAAATAGCGACGGAGCAAACACATATACACAACTAATTTGAAATTCCAACTTGTCTAACACGCCCGTAATACATCAATGTAAGAATCAGGCTATAAAACTTTATTAAATGTGTATTGTACGCGTCTACGGTGATTCGTGAAAAAATCCGCATATTTTTTCTCATAATATTAACTACAACAAATGTGCCAGTTGCTTGCTTTTTTTTCGTGTGTGCCGTTTGCCGTTGCAAATGAAACAATGCCGATACTCAAGCAACGCGAAATAAAGAATAAATAAATGAGCAGAAAAAAGCATATGAATGAATGAAAAAAAAAAATTAACTTCATTCGGAGTGAGGTAGAGAGACGAAGCGCATAATTTAGCGATGTGTATGAAGAAAAATACCGAAAAAAAGGTACGCACACATTAGACGAGACATATCAGCAAAGATATGCGACGACAATAGACGATGCACGGAAACAAATTGAGCAAAAAGTATACATCAAATTTTCCTTCGTTTCTCTATTGTAATAAGACGAATCTGAATACGAAACCAAAGTACCGTAAGCAGAGCATATACTAAGCATAGATATATATCCTGGATATTTTGTCAGTATCCGATATTCATTGGAGCCAGACTTTGAAATAGAGTAAAAACAATAGAAGTTATTGTTATAGTGATTGTAGTAATGTAAATGGTTTTATACTTAGACCTATAACATTCACTTTTATTGTTTTCACTCCATTATAATGGGTGGCTGCGATAAATATCGGATACTCACAAAATATCCCGGATATATATCTATGCTCGGTATATGCTCTGACCGTAAGCCAACAATCAGTGAGCTTAAAATCAACGGCATTCGACCAAATAACTGGCAAACGGGGTGAATGCGAGAACTAAACAAACCAGATGCGCTCTCATTCATTTCCTTTCTCATTCTTTCGTTCACCACTACATGTTGTGCTCTGATATTTTTAAAGTTTGTCTGTTTATTTTTTTACTCTATTTTACTCTCACTCTATCTCTTTGTTTTTTTTCTCACTTTATTTTTTGTTTGTTTGATTGCTATCGTTGTTGCTTCATTTTATTTGTGTGCTTTCTTTTCGGTAATTTAACTCCGGGTGTTTTGGTTCGCTTTATTCGATGGTGTCTATCTCAATTCACGTTCTTTTTTATCGATCACGAAACGCATTGGCATATTTTGTCTTGTGTTCGATATAAATACACACAGATGTGGTAATAATAACAAACAAAAGTGCTAAATTGGGAATGAAAACCGAAGCAAAATAGAGTGCACCATGCTACCACCACCCCAACCGACACCATTACCATTGGAGTAGCACAAACAATGTGAAGGAGACAGGTAGAGAGAGAGAGAGAGAGAGAGAGAGAGAGAGAGAGAGAGAGAGAGA